TTATTTTCGCTAGGATTGTGTGTGCAATCGCCTGACAATCCAGCGACTAGCCTCAGTCGCGGCCTCTGGAGTAGATCGATGTCATCGATTGCAGTCTCTTCTTCTTGGCCAATACTACGACAAAGCTGTCGGAGCCTAATTGAAAACTATAATTTATGTAAATATTTCTAACTATAAATAAGAAAGTGAATCAAGTAACTTTATACGTAGAGGAGTCGTCTTGATCTCTAAAACTAGAATATGCGTTGACACAATACTTACGAGTGGCTAGGAAGCGCTGTGAAAATTTAATGGTTAAGCTTGAAATTAAGAATGGGAATTCGAATTTATAAGAAACCATAAAAAAGTCAAATTAATTTCTGAAAAGATTGAATTAGAGAGAACAATGACCATTCCTAATTGCTTACCAGCTTGTATTTAAACCGTTAAATTTTTGCGTATTGAGTCGGCCAGACAAAATCTCTGTCCTACTCACGCACACTCTCATTCCTCGGTCCCAATAACCTATATGAATTTTTTTACATAGTTTTATTTATATCTCCCTTTCCGTTCTATTCACGCTCTACTCTATAAGTCACTTCCTTTTTTATATCGTTGCCCTTTCACGGCCTTGTGACCACACAAACATGCACCCTTGAAAAGGAGATAAAAGAAAATATTTCTTGGCTGCTGAATAAATTAATGTAATCGCCCTTTGGCTACGTTGTGCAGTCTTGGCTTTCAAATGAAAAGTCAGCATTAAAATTAATTAGAGTAGCTCAAAATACATCAAGGAATAATAATAATGATAATAGCGGTTTCAGCGTTTATTAGGCCGTAGGCCTGTCGCCGATTCTTAACATCGCAGAACATTCACAGCATTTTGCGGTCTCGAACTCACAACGCACTGCTACAATTCTGCTGCGCTTAACCGCCCGGCCTCCTTGCCGATTCTGACCAGAAACTGGCGCACAGAGCTGGGATCGAACCCGCGCCTCTCTGCTCCAATCTTGGTACTCTAAACTTTAACCACTGGGCCACCCTGCCCCTATAATGCCTTACTTTATTTAAATTTTTTTCATTGGCAATATCGACAACATAGTTTAGTTTCATTTTTATTTTTGCGCACGAAATTCAGATAATACAAGTTTAAAGGAAAGCAATTGGAATTTTATTTGAGTATATCTCAGATATTTTGCTGCAAATTTTTAACAGTCAAGTTTTCTAATCTGAGAAGAGGCTTTGGCATAGTATGATATTTGCTATTCCAGTGTGATTGAATGATTTTGCAATTTTGAAATTGTTGTTGGTCTAACTTCGTTATTCGTTCACAGTTTGAATACAAATTTCCCAAATTCAAAAATTAATATTTGGACGCACCGCGTCTCAATTTTTAAGCAACTTTTTAAACGGAATTGGTCACCATTTTCAAGTTCGGTCCTCACCATCGCGCCTCTCACCGAGGTGACGAAGGTGGCCATCACGACGGCCCACGTCGCAGCGGCCGTACAGAAGGCGCGTTTGGAAGTTCCGTTAGAAGTTCTTCGTCAGGAAGAATGTTCGGGTTCTACGGTCACCGAATGCGAGACCGGAGCTGGGATGGTCCCAGGAAACTAGGACATGACCATGTCAACTACATGCATCCTGGGGTAAACTACGATAAACCTCCTAGAAAGTTACGACCACAACGACACAAGGGATTTGGCTCTGAACGCGAATTGGACGATATGTGCTCGAGTCTCCACTTAAATAACGGAGAACACGATGAAGGATGCACGTTTTTCTCAACGGATAATAATAACGGGGAGAACGCACTCCCCACGCCGAAAGCTGAAATATTAACAAAAATGTTCACTTGCTGGGGAGCTGAACAGCAAGCCAAGTGAGTGCATGATGAAAAAAAATTAAAATGTTGACACGATATAAATTGAAATGATACCTAGTGGGGGCAACGGGCCCACGCGTGTCACGGGGCAAAGCGCCCATGGTGAAGTCTTGTGTTATACATCATTAAATTTGTCTCAATGACTTTTTTAAAACTATGACTAGCTTTTTGAATTACAAATTATACTTCAAATTGCATGATTTTTTTATTTGCCGCCTCAAGGCAGCAGGTTTAGTTTCTAGTTATGCGTATTTATGACCCCTTATCGAGTTATTGACTCTTTCCTTACCAAAAGTTGATTTCAGTCAACACCAATGAACCTAAAGTTGATGAGTTTTTATGGTGTTGGCTGACATCACGATTAGGTACGAAATCTCTGCACATAATATCTGTATTATGGGCGAAACTGGAACGAATTTTTTTCTGATCAACTAAATATATTTTTTCTAGTCAAGGATACATTTTTCCATGTCAAGGACGAATTTTTTTTTTATCACAAGGATATTTTTTCAAGTCAAGGATATATATTTTTATGTCAATGAAATATTTTTCATCACGTCAGTGATAGATTTTTAAAGTCAAGAGTATATTTTTTTCAAGTTAAGGTTATGATTTTTTGAGTTGTCCATAAATGAATAATTGTCATATTTTTTATTATATTTTTCTTATTTTTTAACTGTAAAGTGTTGTTTTATCATTTTTAAACAAAAATATGCAATTGTGGTAAAGGGACCAAGGGTGGGCGCTTTGCCCCAAGCCCATGGGCCCATTGGCGCCAGGGGTGGGGGCAATGGGCCCATTTTGACACTTATTACAAAATAGTGTTGCATTAAAAATTGAATAAATCTATAGGCGTCTAATTCACATCATACATTCCTCATAAGTTGTACTTGTAAACAAAACAAAGAACAACCTCGTATCAATTAAAACTTCATCAAAATTTTAGTTTAAAAAAGGGGAGGGGCGCGCTGCCCCATGTTGCCCAAATACGGCTTCTAAATATTTACAGATACGGCCTCCAAATATTTATTTAGCGTTTGAAATTAATAACGCTCAATTTCACTTAAGACTGGAATTTGTTGGAATTATGTAAACATTGAAATTTTTTGGATAAAATATTCGCACCGAATTCAGTTTTGTCTTCCAAAATCAAATAATACATTATATTTAGAAAAAATATTTGATGAATAAAAAATTTTGATTACAAACACTTCATTTCATTCCATTTTATATTAAGAAAGACGTAATTCACCGACAACGAGTCTCATGGACCCAGTCCAAAAAAATCTTTAATTAAAAGTTATTACCTCCGTCCTCCTCTATTTAGAGAAAAAACGGAACTCATTGCCATTTCCACGGTAGATTTTCGTTATATTTTCATTTTCCTTAACATTTTTCACACAAGAGCTTGTCAATCTAGTTGCAATTTTGATATAACATTTTTAGACGGATGCTTATAGTCGTAGGTAGGACCTAATAAATGAAATGAGATATTTAATGTGAATTACGAATAGAAACTTCAATTTTAGAACCAGGTTTGAGCGATGACACTCTCGCTCATATGGCAACAGTGTGTCTGCAGAGGAGCTTCCGTAGACTTTTGTTTGTGGCGCCAGTTGCTCCTGAACGTTTGATGCGTGCGTGTGTGTTTCCTTTGGCGTTTCTCGTAGATTTACAATTATGATAAATCCCCGTGTACAATATTGATAAATATTTTCCCAATAATTTATGTTTATCGAGTACACAATATCTGGTATGAACACAATGTTTAGGGCTGGACAATTGATTTAATTTGAAACGGTGATGGGGTTTATGAAGATGAAGAGAAATGACTACGATCTTCTCGCGTATCCGCGTACAAGAAAAACATGTTTTTCCTTCCCAGCTATCCAGACACTGTCGCTTGAATTATTTAGAAATTAAATTCGGAAGATCTTGATTTACGAGCCTGAATGAGAAACGAGGTTCAAAATTTTTCGTTCTAATTCAATTAACTCAATTCAAGATTGATGATAGCGGGAATCACTTTAGCACTTTCTACTTATTTGAGTTTGAGTGAAAATCGTGCTATTTTTTGCACCTAATGTGCGAAAATTGATCAAATTAACATAACAATTTGGTGTTTGAATTAAAGAGCATTTTACAAATCATATATTCTTCTGAATATCACTTATGGCCTGTACAAATAAAAACTTCAAGGTTAATGACGTGCAGCCTCTAGTAAACATGAGTTAAACGTGTAACAAAACAAACACAAGGGTTTCTGGGTCCATTTTAGGATAGTATACTCTCCCTCCCCCGGTTTTTGTGTTTCCTGAAAACACTGACAACTTAGGCAACATTAATAAGGCCTTAATAGCATCTGTACCTGATTATTATTCATCATAAATTCATTATGGACCTGGTCGTCCAAAAGCTGATGTAAGCGACTCTCTTATCCTATTCCTACTCATACTTATTTCTTAGACTATGCAGAGTTTATCGTGTTCATCCTGTAGATAGAACTTTTATATCTCCATTATTTACGTACATATTATCTTTTCTTGATTAGTGTTTTATGTCACCACTCTAATGAAGAGTCGGTGCAGATTTCAGTTTCTGATTTCATCGCCTAAACTCTTTTTAGATTCTCTCAGCGTTGACCACTTCCCAAATACACTTTATCTTTCAACAATAACATTCTGCGTATAGCAAACAACATCAACTTTGTCGATTTTGTCGCCATTTCTTTTTAACGCTATTATCATTAAACCGTTTCACTCCATCTGCCTACTACTGGACCTTTCTATATCAACGCGGCCGACGTTTATGCTGCTCTACTTTAAATCAGCCCACAATAACTTTTCTTCGTTTTTAACTGTGTTGACATTAACGCCATGCTCTTTAATTCCGTCTTAATGTCACTCGTTTGCTTCAATCGCGAATTCAATGAAAAATTTTAGAATCAGAGAAAATTCCATAGAAATCCACTATATTTTTGTAGAAAACGTGCGATATTTACGTTGCTTTCATTTTCTAGTTAATTCCGTCTACCCAGACACAATTTACTCACTGTCCAGAGGCGCTTGTAGTAATTTTCAAGGAATATTGCGTCGAGGCAGTTTCTTAAACTATAACCTGGCACCGCATTGCGCAGGCATGGCGGTCGGTATGCGTACTCCGCCCTGGACGACGACGGCGGGTCCGGGGCTGGGGAGCGGGCTGACCGCATGGAGTTGGACCGACACGGACCAGTAGGCACAACCCGCGAGACCGCAGCGCATGCAGCCAAGACCTACACCAAGACCCGACAACGCTACACTATGATCGACCACCTGCGCGAGATTGGTGAGCTGCTTCCTTCAATTAACCAATTGATACTTTTGTATCGTACAATTTTTTAGCTTGCTTTAATGGGTGAAGCATTAGAATAATTGCTACCAAACCTTTCATTTTCATTATTAAACATGTTCCAATACGCATAGAATAAAAAACTTATAGCTAATACAAGAGCTAAAAAATTCTCATGACCAATGCAGGAGATAAATACAATGTTCACCACAGGCGTACGCACGTTACCCGTTCAAAAATATCAATATCAACATATAAGCCCATCTTAAGGTGCTGAAGATATTTTTACTCTTGTATTAGCTTCCGAGTATAATGAATAAAATACATTGATCGTGAAAAATATATCCCATTTTCGGGAGCTCTGGATAGAAATTTAGTACGTGTTGAGATGATGCTGAAGTCTCTGACGTGACAGGGTCCCGCATCGACAAGAACTGGTTCAGCGTGCGGGACACGATCGTCAAGACCGAGCGCCTGATGACCCTACAGCCCCACGACCCCATCGCCCCCGTCCCCATCCTGCCTGGCACGAGGGAGGCGCTCATCGAACTTTTCCAGGTGATTGGGACACACATGTCTCGAAATTTTAAAGCAGTTTTAGGTTATAACAACTGAGCTAATGAAGGTACTTTTCAGTACGAGCAGACACAGATGTCGCTTTATTTTTATGATTCTTTTTATCTTAACCCGTGTTATATTGGCAGTAGTTATATACGTGAGTGGGGCACTCATTTCTCTGTATTCATATGACGCATTAGATCTCGACGCTTGATCTTTAACGGTAAATCTCTATGTCAGAATTTTCTATTTGAATAGCATTGTAAACTTTTGCATGCATGTTGAATCTAATATACCTTAAAGCCCTTTTATAACTTGGAAAACGTCACTTAAAAGAAATCTAATGCTTGGAAGAATTTGAATTGAAATTATTTAAGCATGGAATAATGAATATCACTAAACACATTTGAGAGAGGCGTAATAAATTTCTTCAAGCAATTCGTAAAAATGTATTCGTGAAAATGGTTAGCAATTCGTAAAAATGGGCGATAACTGAGGATCAGTAATTATAATTATTCAATAAACTTGCATGGTTATTGCAGGCACTGCAGCATCCCTACATCTACCCTGTACTAGACCTGGACTTCGCGACAGTGTCGTCCCACTCCTACATCGTCATCATCCAACCCACCAACCCCAAAGGAACCCTGAAGGATCTCATTTATAGGGTACGCTTTCTGCAGAGTAGATTTCCAGCTTTTTGTTGTTAGCTTTCCAGGACTAATTTTCTAAATGCACTAAGTTCGGTGCACCTATATAGCTGGAAAATAAAATGACCACAAGCAAAAGTTGAATAAAGAGCCTCACCTTCAATTTCTTTTTATTCATGTAATGAAATATTCTAATGAAGTTATAGGTACAGCTTCTTGTAGTAAGATGTAAAACAGGCATAAAATTGGTACACCAATGGTGCTGCAAAACCAGTGCCTTCACGTCTGCTCAGTGAACAATGAACATGGACCCTGATAAGCTAACGACTTAAAACCAATCATAAATTCGTTGCTCCCAAGCCATATGGCTGGGTAATACGGTTATCTCTTCTGTCGAAAAAAGTAAGCAATATTCTGCTCTTTATTCTTTTTTTAATCTGTTACAGAGCCACTGGCAGCAGGACTGGGCAGAAAAATACCATCAAAGAGCTAGCGGGCTACCACTGAAGCAGGTGCAACGTTTGGGGAGACAAATCCTCGAGGCTTTGCTCTTCTTGCAGGACAGAGGTTTTCCCCCCTGTGGCCACATCCACAGTGGCAACATCGTACTGCAGAACGGCGTTGCCAGGTGCGTAGAATGCAACAGGTGGTGAAAGTTGAATTTAAAAATGTATGTGCGCAATACACATGGATCATCATGTAATAAATGGAATTATGTTGCTATAGCACATAAATATAAATGTTAATATATATAGAAAAAAATATATAGAAAATGTTGCACACATTTTCTAAGCGTCGTTGAAGTTTTTAAAAGTTAATGGTGGAATAAAACTCATCTGGGTTGTACCAATTCCAGATTATCCGGCTTGGAGAATACCTTGTTCGGTTTCACGTCACGGATCTTCCCAATAATCAAAAAACGGCTTAGAGAAAACCGAGACGCCATTGATTCGCTCTGTTTCGGTAAGAACAACATAGATACAGAACATATGCATAAAATCCGATTTTATGTGTGAACCACGTGTGAAGTACATTTGGTTTGCGCTGTATATTTCAAATTTTGTTTTCGTAAAAACTCACACGCTTATTCCCTGTAAAACAATGCTGAAGCAATCATCTAAATTAGTGCATTCTCTCAAAATATGCTGGGTTCTCTAATGACGCCATGCCATAAAATCATTGCGAATGTTTAAATACTTTACCCACTAAAGTATATTGTCATGGGCCAATTTCTTCAACGCCGACACTTCTATTCTATTCTCTAAACACTTTACTTAAAATAAATACTTAATCTTATTTAGCAAAGTATCTATAGTCAATAAAGTATCTATTTTAATTCACTTGACTAAATGTGTTGGTGTGCGGCAGGTCACGTATTGTTCGAGATGTGCGCAGGCTACGAGCTCTCCACAGCTCATCCTTCCNGTTGTGCGGCAGGTCACGTATTGTTCGAGATGTGCGCAGGCTACGAGCTCTCCACGGCTCATCCTTCCGCTCGACATCTGGAAGACATCCAGGCTTACCAGCCAGTGAGTGACTAGAATTTAGATCAGCTAATAAAAGAGTTTGAAATTAATAATTTTTCTAAAAGTCCAACAACTTATTTGCCGGAAGAATTAGAACGTGTGAATTATAAATTACTAATTAGCCTTAGTTTTGATGAAGTAAAAAAGCGCTGCAAGCATTACATTATTAGACAAGATCAGAAATGATGAAAATAATTTAAAACTTTTGCCAGTTTTCTATAGTTTTTACTGCTTAGGGTTGAGTGCTTTATTATATCATATTTATTTATCATGTAAAATAAAAGTTAGAATAACATTTACCACACACATAATCAACTTCACTGTTTATATACCGAATGCAATTATGTGTTTAAATGAAATATATGTTAGAAATCTGAAGAATTGCTCAATCAAATCTGAATTATTGACGAAATTTGAAAATTATATTAAAAAGATATTTTTGTGCTGGTAATTGCGTATTTCATACTTGAATATTGCTCACGTGGATTTAGATAAATTTAATATAATTATTAAATTGGCTAAAGGTCATCAAAGTGTTGGACTACATCTTCGGGTGCGGTGAGAACTACCCAAGCATCGAAGACATCCTCTGTTGCGACTTCTTCAGAAACCTCGACCTCAGAGAGATGAAGGCCATGCCTTTGCCTGTAAGACTAAATCTTGCATTAGCTGTCCTGTGTGCATTTGTTATTGCAGAGAAATGAAAGCCATGCCTTTGCCTTAAAGACTAAATCTTGCGTCAGCTGTCTTGTGTGCATTTGTTATTACAGGGAAATGAAGGCCATGCCTTTGCCTGTAAGACTGAATCTTGCGTCAGCTGTCTTGTATTCATTTGTTATTACAGAGAAATAAAGGCTGCCGTTGCCTTTTCGACCAACGATTGCGTTAACTTCATACTTCTCAGTTGTACATAATAGGCTGTCCTCGGTATACAAGGCTGTACACAAGGCTGTATACACGTCTGTGCTAAAAATTGCTGCAATATTCATGTTGTTCGGTAGAATTAATTATCTAATATTATTGATCTTACTCAATAATCCTACTCTCCGATTGGTGAGAGACTGAATCCTCATAGTCCAGAACCTGTAAATTTTCGTCTATTAACGTGTTAGTCTCTTCAATAATACTTGCCTTTCCAAGCGATTAGGTGTTTAAAACCTTATGAAATAATAATCTTGGTAACATCTTTCCCACTTTTGCCGACAGTTTCAGCTTAACTACTCGCCGGCGGTACGTCAAATCCTGAAGGAAGTACGTCGCCATCAGAAACAAAGAGGGTAAGCATGTTCTCCTGTAATGTAATATAAAGAATCACTATATATTACTACGATAAGAACCATGAGTAAAATCCACATATTAAAATTAAGTCGTCAGTATTCAGTTTGCCGACCCCTACTTACCGGTATATATTTGACAGTGAAACTGAAGTTCTAAATCGATGTGTATGTTTCCAAGCTCGAATGGTCTTTTATTCATTGTGTTAATTTGGGCAGCGAGATTTTAAACAAAAAGACATAGAAGTTTTTAATTAGTTTATATTAACAGCAGGCGTTTGAGGGGAATTTGAAAGTGAGCAGATGCTCGTAAGGAACCTTCTTAGATCTGAAATTGGGTCCTTATCGCTGTGGCAAAAAATTTTCAAAATTGGTCATATTAAAATTTCGAGCCTAGTCGCAAATATGGAGATCGAAAATTTGATTCTGTACCTTAATTGTCAGGCTTTCGCGAATTAATTCTTATTCCTGTTTTAAAGTCACCGTAAACGAAATCAAATCAGTGAGCGTTGACACACAGCAGATTTAATTTCGAGTTTGTTTGTAACACATGTATGCATTTTAATTGCTTTTTGTTCTATCCCTCCTACAGCAGACTCTTCGTTTCGAAGAAAATAAGAAAACCTACATCAAACACCAACACGCAGTACGCTTATCACAGACACAATCTTAATGATGGCAGGCAATCTAGCAAAAACTCAACCGACTCCTCTAAACTGAAAAACAATTTTGTTTTCAACTCGGGTATTCCAAACGCTTCCCTGAATCGTAGACAGCGTTGTGAATGTGAAGGATCATTAACCATAAATCCGGTCCAGCATAGACAAGCTAAATCATTATTAAAGAATGATGAATTTAAACTAAAATCTTCTAATAATCTCAGCTCGGACGATGACTGTTTCGAGTCTAGTTTGGATCTTTGGAATCTCTCTAATAGCAACTTCGATTCGGATAACAAGAATAATGTGACAATTAAGTCTATTAATGTCAATGATTTGCGTAAACCTCCTTTGGATTCAGTGAATAATAAAAATTACTTCTTCGTGACTAACAATTTTGGAAAAACGCAGTTTGGATCTTTTGACGATACTAAGCTCGTTAAATGTTGTACAAAAATTGAAGAATCCCTCCCTCTCAGCAATATCAATAAAGACACGAGTAATACATCAGAAACGTCTAACAGTAATTCAAAATTTACTGCATCAACCTCAGAAATATTTCCTTACAAATGCTCTAACAATTCCCTTTCTCCAGTCGATCAATCTTTATCTTCATTAAGTGTCGATGCCCACAACATTTCACTTCGTGATTCAGACAACTCAGACAGTGAGAGCAACTTTCTCGGCTCGTCTGTATGTTCGGAAAAAATTATTCTACGTACGGTGCAGAAAAGATCTTCTAGTACAGAAGAAAAAATCCTGTTCAAAATAAACAATAGTCCTTCCTTTGATGACACGCCTGAAAGCGAAATAATTTTTAATAATTTTTTCAAAGTGATTCCAGGTTCTGATTCGTTCGGGATCTTGACTCAAACCCAGAAGGTTGAGAGCCTGCGCAGAAATTTTAATATGAATAAAACAGATAAAATTTACGATTGTGACAAGGGGGTAGCAATGCCCTCTGAAATTGATAGCGCTAAAAGCAAACAAAGTTCCGTCAAAATAAACTCTCGTTCAGTCAAAAACTTCAATGACACATTTTATGACTGTACAAACGGCTCCTACAGAAATGAACTCGTTCCGGCAGGTTTTCCTGAACCAAACACTGGCAATGTAGAGTTTTCAAGCATCAATCTTAATAAAACTCATGCCGCCAGCAGCGACTTTGTTGGCAATCCATACGGAAAAGATACCAATGTAGCGAGAAATTTTCACTCATCTTGTGTGGACAAGAAAAATTTATTTATCATTCATGATCCAAAGACCAAAGACAAATTACATTTAAATGATGACAAAAATGCACTGCCTATAAAACACAACTTCACAAGGAACAGCTCTGATATTTCGCTATCCGAAAGCAAAAAGAATCACTCCACACATTTCTACCCACGATGCAACTCCACGAATAGTAGTAACAGCGACACGACAAATATAACAATTCTTCGAAACATTCGGATGTTCGCGAGAATTCTCCATGTTCCCCTCGGGTTCATCAGCAGGTGTTCTTTTTGTTCAGTAGTGGTGATGGCATGAGGAGATCGCATATTAATTATTTGTCTATTAGATCTAAATCAAATAAATTATTTATACAGGATACTCTTTCAAAATTAGCGTAACGACTATATATTGATAATTATTTCTGATCGTTTTACTACTTGTGGTTTTCCTGTAGTCGCAACTAGAAAATCAATTAAATATCATTCTTGTAATTCAATGTATATGATTTTCAAGTGCCAACACCTATGCTGGAAAATATTTCCCTTCCCTCTGACTTGTTGTTAATTATGAATAGTCTATACATTCCCTTAATAAATTTTTGCGTACTTTTCTTCCGTAGAAAAACATTAACATCTTATGACATTTTTTATCAAATAACATTTTCCTTACGTCCATATACAGTAGAACGAATGTTTATTGGACCGTTTGTAGAATAATTACCTACCTTGTATAGATATTCTTACACGGTGACATTCTTTGATAGATACAAATTCCTTAATAAGCCAGAGATTTTCATAGATCGACTTTACAATCCATTATCGTGTGAATTACGATCAGCGAATCGATAAAGAATAGTTGTGAGGAATGATTTTTTTATGATGTCTCTATAGTGTAGTTTGAGATGTGCATGGAAAGATGGGGTGCTTCAATTAGTTGATTTTGAATAGACCTTGAATGTTAGAACATAAACTCTAAAATTGTAATGTACACTACTTAAATACTTCAGAATGAACCCCTTTCTCCTCCCTCTTTTTCAGTTTTCTATACATCTTGTAGTTTCAATAAATCTATTGTGCCACGAATGTTCGAAATCATTGAAATATCAGCTATCGAAATCATTGAAATATCAGCTAGTTTCATGAATAATATCCTTCTACTTCGACTTCATTTGCCCAAAATCGTACAAAATTTTTACCTTTTGTTTTACGTGTGGCCGTTTTATTGTAACGTAATTTTTTCCCGTTAATGTTTATGAGGAATGAATTTTTTAGACCAAGCATCGATTAACGGTGACATTTTTGAGCAGCGATTACGAACATAAAAATGTTGAATACCTGTTAATAGATGTAGAAATGTACGTACTTGAATAAGTTCTGAAGGATGTGTTTAGATAGTTCCTCGTGTATGTGATTTAATGTTATTGAAGTTATGAAATTAATCCGTAAATTTCTAAGATTTTTGTTTATTTGTTATATTCTTTTCTTAATAATATTTCGGATATAATCGTATTTCTCTCATAAAATATTGTTTTCTAATGAAATACAAATATAATCGAATCATAACTTTGATCGGCAAAGATGGCTTCGGTTTTACTTGCTCAATTAAAATTATTAAATGTTATAACGGGAGCTGCTTTACGGCCGCCTGCACCCAGAGAAACACATGGAACTTTGTCCAAATAACGATGCAATTTTTATCCTTTTGTTGCTCATCCTGAAGCAAATATGAGGGTAAAAAGAGCGTATCACTGCTACGACCACCGTTCCTGCGGTCCTTGCCAGTGCTGTTGGTGACAAGAGTAGCTGTAGGTCATTATTTTGACAAAAACTCATTATTTTGTTACGAATTTCACTCCAACCTCCAAATTGCCTCTGCCTTTTGGAGCTGAAAGCGAACCACTGCTAAGATTAATTTGATAAAAGAAAGTTCATCCAAAAAATATTTTCAATATTGATGAAAACGAGCAATGGATGCGATTCGAATTACTGATTGATCAGTATCAGCAAGTCTCGGAGATTTGCCACGAATGCAACTCAAAATGTTTGTTAAACGTTCATTTAAGTAACTTCAATTAAAAATTTAAATGAAAAGGAAAAACTAAAATTAATTAATTTAATTAATGAATTAAAATTTTTCAGACGTGGCCGGCGCACTCCCGCAGAGGGTGACATTGGGGCCATGGACCCACTAAGCAACGGGGGGTCCACACCCACGAACAGCAGTGAGGCTTCCACAGGGGGTGCACCCACTGAGGAGCTGCCTCCCCACCCTCTCCCCAACTCAACCCATCCTTCCCCTCACGCTTCCCCTCACCCAGCCATGGCCCACCTCCCCCCAAACCTCGTAGCCCCTCATATGGGTGCACCTAACCCCTTGCAACCATACTCGGCACCACAGCTGTTAAGCCAGCACCATCTAAGCCAACAACATATAAACCACCATCATTCAAGCCAACAACATCTAAACCAGCCTCACCTAAGCCAGGGACATCTAAACCAGCCTCACCTGAGCCAGGGACATCTAAACCAGCCCCACCTAAACCAGCCTCATCTAAACCAAGCACATTTCGACCCAAACGCCTTCCCGCTGCAGCCTGAGCTACCGACTGCCATGTACGCAGCTTCCGTCGACATGTCTTCTTCTCAAGATGTAAGTTAACATTTTATAATACTCAAGATTACCTTAATTTATAGTAAAATCGTTCTAATACCTATGGTCTTCCCGCTCTTTTCTTTATAGAAAGTTTATATTATATTTTTGTGTCTTAAGTTCAGTTTATGTATATTTTTACATGCCAGAGCTGAGCGTACGTGTAAGCGCTCGCATATTTAACGTAAATCAAGTTTACTGATATCGTATCTATAATTCACTCTACAGTATTGGTTTGTTAAACAAATTCCAACGCGTGTCTTACACCATAACCTTACGCAATTGAAAAATAAAACAGTGTGAAAATTAAATTTTCACCGTAATCAGTAGAATTACAAGCTGCCAAATTTTTGGCCCGGAAATTAAAAGTTCAGAAACCAATCACAACATTCAGAAGCTATTCTCCAGGAGACACATTCATTATTTTGTTTCATATATCATTTTAATATTTACTCATGCTTGAAAACCCAATACCATCCTTGAATAAGAACCTCTCCTCAAGTTACAGTATGAATTAGCGAAATAATTTTAGGACCATTAGCAATCAACTCAAGGTGAGTTTTTGCGTCATCCTCCGATCCTCTAAAGCTTCGCTCAGCCGCTAAATTTTGACTCCTTTTAAATAATAAATATAATAACTCTTCATTTTAACTTCTATTGCTTGCTTGAATATCCGTCGTGAGCTTTATATAGTGTCGTCCTCGTCTCCCTTCCTATGTCAAATTTCCTCCCATTCGAGATTACACTAAATTTCTTCCCAATGAAGTGATAGTAATAGAAAATTAGTAAAGCCAAAATTTTACCCGCTCATTTAAAATTAGGCACAATAGAGCAATGAAATATACGGTTCTTTTAAGCAAAGAATATATTTAATTAATTTAATGATTTGGGATGCAGAGTGCAAAGATATTGCAAACTTTTAAATATATCCATTAATTAATTTCAAATAAAAACACAAATTTAAATATGGATTGATAAAAAAATATCAGTTCGTAATCTGTGAAACTCGCATTTGACGCATAAACTCACTGATATGCATAAAGTTTTCCTTACATTAATATGTACCATAAAATTTTCCTATAATTTAGTACATCAGTCGAACATTTTTCTGCTCGTAAAATTTGTCATCCCAGTGTTTAATTGTTTGTTTAGCTTGAATTACTCTAGCCGTTACCTTCTTAATGCTGAACGTACATTCAATCATCTTAGGTCTGAGATAATCTCCTCTTTCAGTCACAGATAAAAGTAGATATAGACTTATTGTGTGTAGATTGTTTGTAACTACTGACTAGTTACCTTACCACTAATTATTAACTCCTCGTGCATTGTTGACTTTTGTCTTAACTCGTTCAGATCCCTGCAAATTTATGCATTTGAAGCCGAAGTTCTTTCCCATTATAATATTTTATTCGCCATCATGTACACTAATATATAGTTTTTAGGAACTGGATGTTTCTCAGTTACTTTCCATCCAATTCCCTCTAATGAAGTAAAACATTAGAAAGATTATTCCTGTAATACATAATTAATGAGTAAACAAATCAAATAATTAAGGTTTTGAATACTTATAAGAAACTTTGAGTCACAAATTTACCGGTTACTTTAGACGTTTAGAGATCGGAATTCACACACGTGCTACCACGGCAAACGCAACTGACTTTCTCCGAAGTAGTGATTATTACGAGCTTATTATTTAGTCGGGTTTTAAGAGCAAGGGACAGGATTTAGCACCTCATCGCCGCTTGCTCCGAGCCTACGAATCTAAATAAGTTGGCGCACCTGAAGTACTGAAAATCCTTCGGCGAATCGCTGGTAAAGGAGCACAAGGAATAGCACAAAGTTTCATCAGCACCCTGGGAATGAGCGCCTTTTTTTTTCTTTAGATGAGCGCCTTGCAAAGCTGTATATATGGAAGCATGATAGAATTGTTAATTCATGGCTACTGCTGATATATGTTTTGATTTAGCAAGTAGATCATCTAGGTTTTTTTAAATATTATTATAATTATGTATATATTTCTATTATTATTGTTAAAAGAACCTCTCCTCAAGTTACAGTATGAATTAGCGAAATAATTTTAGGACCATTAGCAATCAACTCAAGGTGAGTTTTTGCGTCATCCTCCGATCCCTTAAAGCTTCGCTCAGCCGCTAAATTTTGACTCCTTTTAAATAATAAATATAATAACTCTTCATTTTAACTTCTATTGCTTGCTTGAATATCCGTCCTGAGCCTTATATAGTATCGTCCTCGTCTCCCTTCCTATGTCAAATTTCCTCCCATTCGAGATTACACTAAATTTCTTCCCAATGAAGTGATGGTAATAGATTATTTGTTAAGCCAAAATTTTACCCGCTCATTTAAAATTAGGCACATTAGAGCAATGAAATATACGGTTCTTTTAAGCAAAGAATATCATTAATTAATTTAATGGTCTGGGATGCAGAGTGCAAAGATATTGCAAACTTTTAAAGATATACATTAATTAATTTCAAATAAAAACACAAATTTAAATATGGATTGATAAAAAAATATCAGTTCGTAATCTGTGAAACTCGCATTTGACGCATAAACTCACTGATATGCATAAAGTTTTCCTTACATTAATATGTACCATAAAATTTTCCTATAATTTAGTACATCAGTCGAACATTTTTCTGCACGTAAAATTTGTCATTCCAGTGGTTAATTGTTTGTTTAGCTTGAATTACTCTAGCCGTTACCTTCTTAATGCTGAACGTACATTCAATCATCTTAGGTCCGAGATAATCTCCTCTTTCAGTCACAGATAAAAGTAGATATAGACTTATTGTGTGTAGATTGTTTGTAACTACTGACTAGTTACCTTACCACTAATTATTAACTCCTCGTGCATTGTTGACTTTTGTCTTAACTCGTTCAGATCCCTGCAAATTTATGCATTTGAAGCCGAAGTTCTTTCCCATTATAATATTTTATTCGCCATCATGTACACTAATATATAGTTTTTAGGAACTGGATGTTTCTCAGTTACTTTCCATCCAATTCCCTCTAATGAAGTAAAACATTAGAAAGATTATTCCTGTAATACATACCTATAATATAAAACAAATATATAATAAATATTATTTCTCCGGACTATAAAATCTGGCTTCGTTGTTTCAGTGAGTGCAAATGTATTGATAAATTCTTGTAATTTCAGTCGAAAAAACAAGGATTTTGCTAATTATATCTATTCCATAAATATCTTTCTGAATTTAATGTGGTATAAATAATTTTATGATAACAATTTATGCACATAAGAGGGTTGATAATAATATAAATATAATTTAAACAATAAATAATAAACAGCAATGACTGAAATAATATAAATGCTATGAAATGAATAATTCAAATAATCTTAATAAGGTATAAATGCTTCGGGACACATGGTATACGCTAATGATACTTTCGATTTACTTCCACTTATTTCCTTGAATAATGAAAATTTCTCACTTTATTTTTCGCTTTCAAACCAATGACTCGGTAATCGCTGATTCCTTTTTTTAATGTTTCTTTTTGAAATTCGAGCCCTGACAGAAGACGCTTTTTTGAGAATATCCGGTCACAGGACACCAAAATTCTTATCCTTTCTTTTTCGGTCAATGTTCTTTCTTATCTTATCTTAGTCAGGAAATATTATTCTTAAATTAGTCAGACAAAAGTAGCTCCTATCTTATCTTGGTCGGGCAACGGTCATAAATTTTTTACCATTCATCGTTCGCAGAAAATTCTGACCCGGCATTAAATGCCTGGGAATCGCAGACTGGGATTCAAATCTTACAGTGCATGGAATTCTAAATATTTGAACTAATAATAGAATTTCCCCACGTATAAATCTTTAACTAACTAAAAAATTCATCCAGGATAAATATAATGGTTCAAAGTCATCATAAAACTTCAAAATGAAATTGAATTTTTGGTGAATTCAAATTTTAACATAGTTTGTTAAAATTACACTTTACATTATGAAAATAATTCAGGATTCTAGTTTCATGAACGCGTTTAATTCAATTTATTCCCCTATTCCATTCAATGCCCTTGCCTGACGAAGATCTGTGGAAATTTCATATTTTTAGCGCATTTTCTCATTTATGGAAAAAATGCACTATTGTGCTCGCCATATCCGTCTGTCTGTCCGTCCGTCTGTCCGTCCGTCCGTGACCTCAAGTTTTCGTCGACGAGAAAATGCGCTCTCTGTCAATCACTGCAGTGAGTACTGAGTTATATTTTTTATGTCTGCATGCTTCGCTCCTGCTCTTGTTTACTCTCGCTTTCTGCTACCAGCCTGCGCGTTCGCACCAGACGCCTGGTGCTTCTCTGCACCACAGTGCACGCTTTGCACCGGCGCACCAGCACGCAAGTCGACTCTTAGCACCCAACGGAAGCACCAACAGCACCAGCACCACGAGGCAGGCAACTTCACCAAGTCCTCCACCGGGAAGTGAAATCTACCACACTCCCCCACACTCTCCCCCTACTCCTTCCCACCTTTACCAAAATGCTGAAAGTGACATTAGACCAATTTACCACTCAGCGACTTCCCCGGAAATTGCAAAATCTCTTTCTGTCCCTAAGATAACAACTTCCCGATACCCCAGCAAATATTCCTCGAGCAACCTTAACAGCCTCGCCAGATCGGCATCAGCTGCTAACGATCCTTTAAATATTAATCTTTTATCCCCCACACCTCGACCGTACAATTCATCTAATCTTGAACCTGAAAGATTGAACTCCTCCGAGTCCATCCATCCCAGTACTAGAAGCTTTTCGAAATTTTCCAGCAACAAATCTTACAATAGTTCTTCCCATTGCTTAACAGACATGAAAGATTCCTCGTCAGTTTCTCTCGTAAATTTTGCTTCTGCCAGCAACAACAATAAAACTTCCCCCGATATACAGTACAGCAATAGTAGCTTTATTACCTCAAACTCGACTTCGTCAGCAAAAAGCCCTTCTCCTTTACTGACGTCAGCGGTGGGGGCTTGGAGCGGCAGCACCGGTAGACCAAACACCGTGAGTGCCTTGTAGGAATACCCAGGGCCTATACTTTCAAAAAAGTTAAGAGATCGTAAGTTCATCAGCCAATCATTGACGGCCTTTCAAGCAAAGTCCACCAATCATAGACAAGAAAATAGATCGTAAGTACTTACGTTCACTTAGCGAGTTTTGAAAGTATGGCCCCAGACCCTCTGTCACGTCTCTAAATCGCTACTTAGGTAAGAATAACATTGTGATGAGTCAATAAAATTCATATATTATAGGCAGTGAGATGGCAATTCATATTATCTTTAAATCGCTTCAGAGGTGATAATTCCGAGACAGACGTGAACGACTTAGGGGATTTATTAAAGTTGCAAAAAAAGAAGAAAAACTAAAATCCCCAGACTGCATAGAAACGAACATTAGCATCTGCATGCTGCATATGCAGATGCATTAGCATCTGCATATTTATCTCCTGGCATTAACGCTCAATTCAAATGTTTTCCATTCAAATTATCTCCTCCGAAGAGTACTGAGTAAATTTTATACATAAACGTAATGCAGTCAAATTTCATGTTCTCGAATGTAAAATGAGAATTATTATATCCATTTAGCTTCGTCATCAAACGCACTAAAATCAAGCTTGGAGTCAAACACACCGCCCTAAATATGTTAAACAATACCCAGGTTGTAGATTACTTTGTTGTTGAGTTTATTTAGCACCAAGCTACACCAAGTAAAACAATCATTGAAATTTATATGTACATGGTAATATATTTGATGACCACCATTAACTTATTCGACCACTCGAATTAAATTTTCAATGCATCCGTCACTAATTCAAGTAAGTAATTCCCTTCCCTTTTGTGCTGTCATTATTTTTCCATGACTCCTTGAAAATTTTCATTCACTCCCTTGAAAAATTCACACTGCAAACATTACATATAAAAATATTCGATGCAATTTATTATTACCTTGCATTGGAAAAATGTCAGGGATAATTATCAATTTGCTATCATTTCTTACAAGAATAACAGGTAATGTTTTTTAAAGAAATCATTCATGCGCTGAAAATAATTAAAATAACAAATGTAATCATACAGAGCTGTGTTTATAGATGACTTTATGTTAATTAATTGTTTTCAATTGCAGGGTTACCGTTGAAGACGATTGAACATCATTCGTATCACCGTCTGCACCTACTTTACATGGCTTCTCGCTTCCGCTCGCAATTCCTCGAGAACTGCGAACTGCTCCTTGGTTCTGATATCGTTTTCATATGCTGCAAGATATCCCAAATATCATATGATGTGCTCTACATGAATAAGACGCGTTACGTTTCACTTATTGCTTAAGAATTGCAGGATTCTTCTTCAGTTCTCAAATCAAGTCCCGTTCTTCATGGCATCCCAAAAATCCCTGATCTCTCCAAGAATGAGACATGCTTCAAACTTCACTTATTGCTTGGGCAAAATAATACAATCAATCAGTCGACATTGTGGCCAGCTGCTTCAGGATACCCCAAGAATCCTGGTTTTTCACTTCACTTACTGATAGATAAATGCAATATAATTCCAAAATGCAAATGAACTTACGTCTGACAAACTTACGTCTTACGCTTCGTTTGTCAAAATTGCAGCAGTGACCATTTTGATCATTTCATGTCCAGTGTTATTCTAAATGATGAACCAAATTTAATGAATTTAATTTTATCCAAGTATATATTCAAAATGAATAATTTATACACCAATGGAAAGAGAAAAATTCAATTTTTTAGCTTGTTCAAACGCGGAATTAATTGGGTGGCGCCGGTGGCGGTAGTTGCAGAAAACTTTTTTGAATCAGTCATTTCTTGAGCGTTGGGAAGGACGCATAGGAAATGAAGATCTGGCTATACACTTTATACCACCGAGATCACCTGATCTCAGCCCAGGTGACTATTTCTTATGGGGTTACGTCAATTAAGCTGTTTACGTCCCGCCTCTACAAGTGTCTCTGGTTGATCTGAAGCTACCGAGATCTCCTGATCTCACCCAATGCGGCTATTTCTCACGGGGTTACGTCAAGGAAGCTGTCCATCATTTAGAATAGCCCTGTATAATGTACATTCAATGCATTCTAATTTTTAAGGAATGCCATAACTGGCACGCCGTAATATGCTAAAGAACTTGTCGTTACTCAACATCCGTACAATTTGCTATCCAAATCAATTTTGTGAATAACTTGAGGGTAATTCTTCAATAGTTTTCATCTGTATTTACCAGTGTTTGTTGTTATTTTCATATTCACATGAAACCGGTGAAGTAACGTTAAACGTAACGTGATTTTGATCCTACCAACAACGTGTCCAAGGCAGAAATAATGGCCACATGGTAAATTCAGCCTTTATTTGATTCGGTGTTTTCATTTGTAGCGATATGATATGTTGATATGTACCGGTAATTTCATCGAATCAAGTAATATTAATAATCATAAAACAATCGATGTAATCAACGTAACAAACATCGAAGTTGATTCGCAGATATAGATAATGATAATTTTAGACCCGTCAACTCATGAAATGGTAGACAAGTGGTAGAAACGACAAGTGGTAGAAATCAGACGAATACGACTCAACCGAGTGGCAGAAGGAATATAATCTAACATAGCGACCAACGTGACATGATTCCACCCAGTAGTAGACGAAATATGATACATGTAGGTGTGAAAACTGACGAAAATACTACTCATCTCTATTTTGCTCATCTGTTCTCCATTAAACCCTTACTCATAAATTATAAGTTGCGTGGGTGACCTAAATTCAATTCATGCTTCTAACTATAATTTATTTAAGGTACTCCATAACTATAATTTATTTAAGGTACTCCATAACTAGTGACTCAAAGAATCATCGTAGGAGTTTATTTCAGAACATACTCGTGAGCCATCAATACATATACCTGAGATATCTCATTCTGGTCAGTCTAAAATGGTGTATTTTTTCGACTATAGTTATAGTACAAAACTCATTTTCATGAACGTATCCGCATTGTTTTTAGGATAACAAGCCAAACGTTTGCATTCATTCTATGCAGAAAGGCAGATTTCGCCGCTCGAAATAGATTTTTCCAAGACTCTCGAAATTGAATAACTTGGTTAACTCTAAGCTTTTCACCAATTTCGTTAAAGTGTAAAATAATATCTTTGATGACACTTTAACCGACATAAGCACACTTAATCTTAACGTAAAACATGTTCGTAACATTTCAAAATAAATATTGTATTTTAAAATAATTCATATCTATGTGATTTCATCTGATACAATTTGAACCTTCTTATACAAACATTAAATCGTGAATTTTGCACAATCCTGGTCGATTTTTTTTAAATTTCAATCGAAGTTGCATCATATATTCATTGCTAGTATTTCATTAGTGTAATAAGTGATCCCAACACCAGCTTTCGCTTGACTGCTTCTCTGCACCGTAGAAACGCTTTGATACCGAGACCTTTTTTGAACAAATAATTTCCTTCAGATGTCAAATAATAATACTCATTAAAAAAGGGGAACATTACACTCTGCCTTCAAAATAAAATGCTGGGTGGTAACGAATGAATTACTATCCATATCGGAAAATTTTCGTTCAAAATTTTATTACAAAAATATCTTCCAAAAAACTTCAGAATTTTAAATTTCCAGATGCGAATTATTCCACCCAACACTGATTTAAGTCGACAATAAATAAATGTAAAATAGAAGAAGTTTACATTTCTTCGTGCCTAAATTTCTTTCACGATTACCGCACAATAAGAGCGTGCGTGATAAAATTCATGCCAATTGCGTTCATGGTCATTATAATATTTGTATGATCCATAAGCAAGCAATTGATTGAATTTACGACTTCACATAAAGTTTTTGATTCAATGTTAACGGTAATTTGGTTTATGATTAATAAGTTGTACGGCAATTAGTTTAAGTTAATAATGTTTACATAAACTTGATAAATGATTTAAAATATGTATGATTACAATGCATCTGATTTGAATATAGTTATAAATCATAACTATCATAAATCATAACTATCATAAATCATAACTATAAATCAACAACCCAACTCAACTTTTTTCGAGACGGTTCCATGCAAGCGAAATAATTTTCAATCAAAATACCACAAATCGCGCCGCTATCTGAAATTAGGTGTAGTGCCTTTCTTTACAATTTATTTCAGTAAGAAATGTACCTGCCATTATAAATGCAAAGTATGGCAGGAAGTTGTGACCTCATTTGTCAACTATAATCATATCGATAACATGTGCTTTACTTCAGTTAGCCATTGCCTTCAATAGAGAATTTTCATCAATAATTTTTTTAACTTTTGTACTTCTCTCCCCAATACTACATGAATTCTATATCGTACTTGTGATGCTTTATATTTTTATATTGCTCAAAATAGTTCGATGTTTTGTTCGTATTATTTATTTTTTTTTATTATTATTATATATAAAATAAATTTAGCTTTTTGTTCGTAACTGCTATTTTTAGTATAAAAATTGTTTTTGGTATAGTTCGTTTTTATGTTTGACTTATTCATTTGTTTTCGGCAGTTTCGCTCAAGCGCCTGGATGTTATATTCGTTTCATATGCAGACGTAATTTTTAATTACTTTGTTAATTTGAACCTCCAATGATTGGATAATCCTTTGATAATTATTATTGTTATGAATAGGGTTTAGTTGTTAAAAGTTATGTGAAGAAATTTGATCGAAAACAAATAATAAAAGGAGAGTCAATTTTTCATGTTACGATACAATAGTGAATTAAAAGCCTTATCTTAATCAATTTAGTTTTAAATCGTATCTTTACAATAGGCAAACGTTTAAGTACCTTGGCGTCCTAATTTCAAATTTTTTGGAGATCTGCGCTAGTTTACGCGCGTTTGACTTACAAGTTATTAAATTAGGTCAATATATATAAATCAAATTCTGAAAAGCTAATTGAAAAGGAATGGAATTTCTCAGGCCTTTTACAAATGAAGGTTGAAATCAAACTAAATATTCCTATTATGATGCTGTGATGTTGTTGATCTTTATAACGAATGCTTTGGATACACATTCGCAATCACTACATTACCGCAGGCATTTGTTTATTTGACCTGCGAAAATTGACCTGCGATGGGACCACTGTTTCTTAAATTTTTTTAACTTTATTTAGGACTCAAATCATAATATTTTCTAAGCCAGAACACTTTGACGAGGATAATTTATGAGTAACAATTTTCACTCATCTCTAGTGTCAACTGTGCTGCTCGCATGGACGGTAAATCCAAAAATTGCACGACTAGCCTTCGGTTAATGCCGTTGATAAAAACACATGAATTTACTTTTGCAATATGACCGATTGATATTCTATTCTAATACATAGTCGTGATCAAATCACCGTATCCCGTAATCACCGTTATCACCGTTATCACCGTAACAGTTTAATGTTTGTTTCAAATTTTCAAATCGGATTTAAATCTACCTTGAATTTAAAATTTCGTTAAACAATTTATTTATCAAAACCAACGTCAAAACACTTGCTGGGGTGATAAAGCAATCATAATAACATTATATGCCAAGTTTGAAGATTTTTTGTGCGAGTAACCTACAAGAAATTAATAAAGTTACCCGCTGAACATTCAAAGAATATTGCACGCTGCCGCAAGCTTTGCCTTCTCATGTTTAGAATATTCTATGTAGATTGTAAGGCCTAAGATTACTTAATACGATCGAAAATTTGCCTAACGTGTGAGTGAGGTTTATTTCATGCATCTTAGACTAATAATTTCATTAATGTACATAGCATCACGGGTGCAATAAATCAATTTTTGTTGTATATGTTTTATTGCCCGTCCTCACAAATTTATAATTTGCTTTTTATTAATTTCTAAAAATCTGATTTAGGAAAAAATCATATTAGTACATATCTGTAAGGGAAAATTTTAACTCAGATCGAGCAATTCCTTGACAAAATTGCAATGACCGAATTAATTAAGCCAAACCGAACCTGAAGCCGATTAGAAAAGATCACATAACTTTAAAGAGATTACTACCATAGTCAGCCTACTAGTCGCTCACATAGATGAGGATTAACAATCACAAACTTCATGACTTTTCTTTTATTGCAAGCGATATATTAACGATAATAATATACGTTTGAAAATTACTTTTTAAAGACAACACTTCCAAAGAATCCAGTGTCTCCAATCATACAGATGTACAATGAATTTCTCATTTAATTTTCGAACATTACAAAATTAATTTTTCAATTTTTTTAATATATACATTTTTTTAATATATATATTTTTTAAAATTATTTATTCTGTTAATTGATTCATGCATTGCCTCTGACTTCACACAAGTGTGCAAAATAATTTTTTTTTTTGTTTAATGAAGGCTGTTATATTATATATATACACTATATATTGAAGGCAGGGTGGCCTAGTGGTTACAGTTCAGAGTACCAAGATTGGCGCAATAGAGAGGCGCGGGTTCGATCCCAGCTCAGTGCGCCAGTTTTCTGGTCAGAATCGGCAAGGAGGCCGGGCGGTTAAGCACAGCAGAATAGTAGCAGTGAGTTGCGAGTTCGAGACCGCAAAATGCTGTGAGTGTTCTGCGATGTTTAGAATCGGCGACAGGCCTTCGGCCTAATAAACGCTGAATCCGCTATATTATATTATTATTATTATATTAGCAGCCCTTACTTATCTAAATTACATTAGCAGTAACTCATTTCATTTACTAATATATGTTCCCTGTAAACTTCTTCCCAATCCTGCACTGAGCTTACATCAGCCAACCTCACTAAATGGCAGCAATTAACTTCATATACAAAGAAGCTGAAAACCACAAGCTATAAGCTCTCAGGCCCAACGGTCATCCATCTGGCAGACCTGCGGCTTTAAGTCCACTCCAAGTGGACACCCTGCAAAGAAAGAAGAAGAAGACCCTGGGAATTGCTGCTACGAGATCAGGCAACGAACTGGCGAAAAATTCTTCTGAGAAGAGTGAAGTACAGTAGGCGCGAATTGTAAGTTTTACGTTAAATGTTCACGCTAAAACTTCTTCCAACGTCACCTAAATATGAAGCACAGAGTGGATGTAAAATTTATGCCCGAAATTTCTCCGAAATTAAAGCTAACTCCTAGTTTTGTGTCCAAAAACACAATTCCGAATGCCCTTTTCTTCGAGAGATTAATAATGCTATTGAAAAAATTAAATGCAGTTTTTTTATTGAATTCTACGAGCCGACTAGTGCGTGTTAAGCAAAGAAAATTTGAAGTTGTGAGTTACGAGTTCAAGCCGGCAACATACTGTTGATGTACTGAAATGTTAAGAATCGACGATGGGTCTATACGGGCACTACGGACCGCCAGAGTTGAAAATGAAGTTAGGTTTTGCATTCGAGCTCGCAGGCGAGTTCGCTGAAGTGTCGAATCGGTGCACTACGGCCTAATAAACGCAGAAACAGCTATATTATTATAAAATATAATGGAAGTGTCGGCACTGAATAAATAGGCCCATGGCTTGTTATAAGATCATAATCAATAATGAATTATTCGCAGTTATTGCTATTGAATATTCAATTAGTAGAAATAGAGTTTGGACCTGTGGCAAATCTTATGAATCGCTTAAATTTAGTAGCTCCATTATATACTGTTTAATAATGATTTTCATTTAAAACCCCCCCAAATGGCAGGGTGGCCCAGTGGTTACAGTTCAGAGTACCAGGATTGGCGCAGAGAGGCGCGGGTTCGATCCCAGCTCTGTGCGCCAGTTTCTGGTCAGAATCGGCAAGGAGGCCGGGCGGTTAAGCACAGCAGAATTGTAGCAGTGAGTTGCGAGTTCGAGACCGCAAAATGCTGTGAATGTTCTGCGATGTTAAGAATCGGCGACAGGCCTACGGCCTAATAAACGCTGAAACCGCTATTATATTATTATTAACACCCCTTCGTGAAAACACGAAGCACCAGAATTAGACATGATGTAATTTATTTTTGAACAAAAAAGTGTATTACAGAACGCAAGTAGCGAAGTCTGCGACTCATTTCCAATAAATAAAGGCTTTGATGCCGATTAAGCGTTTTTCAATTCTTTATTACCAATTAATAATTCGCTGCCCACCCTTGTAAAAAAGTAAATATGTGTTTATGTGTCCATAAAAAAACCTGATAATATTGTGCTTGTAGCCTTGTACACGATAAAAATTTTAGCCGATAACATTAGCGGCAAATACTTCGCTTTGTTGTTTTACCGACTAAAAGCTTATACTCGAGGAAAGTATTAGTTACAATAAGTTACTTCCGAGTTCCGGGATCGATTGGTAGTTGCAGGTTGCACCGACTCGTAGAAATACATGTAGAGCTGCTGTCATCATGGCTCGTCTCCGTGTACGGCGCCTAGCCTGGGGCAATGGGCATGAAGGCTTCAGGCATGGTTGCCACTTGCCGATCTGTAGTATCTTTACCGATTTGGTATGTCAGCACTCACCCATACGGCCATACCACTCTATCGCCTATCCAAATCCAATGTGTGATTGTGACTAGTGACTACTGCAACGTGACTTGGAAGTTGGAAACTTGGAAGACGCCATTGACTATTGAGCACTTCTTCAATGTGGATGTAGACGTATAGTCTTATACTATAGTATAAGTCTACGGGAGCGCTGCCGTAGCCCAAAAATTTGACTCTTAAATCAGCCCAAGAGCCATGGTGGCAATCCATAGGTTATTCAAAAGAACCTGTTCTTATGTCATTTTGAACCGATCAACGCTTACCGCTGAGCCGGACCGGTCGATGCTCTTGCAAACGCATAAGTACTCACAATAATTCCCTGCCACCATGCCAAGAGCCAATGCCAACCCTCTACATGAACATGCAATAGAAATAGTCAGTCTAACACCTATGCAGCTGTTATTACTAGTATGAAAATTATGCTGGTATTGGGCAATGGGCAATGCTGGGTTATTTCAGTCGTCCCGGGCCTGCTGGGTGGAAGAGAATTCACACGGAAGTTTTTGAGCAAGTTCAAGTTCAGTTTTTTGGCAACTTCAGTATCAGTGCTGCTGGCAGTGGGTCAGTGGCAACTTGGCAAGGCCAAGTGGCAAGGTATCAGCAATGATGGTGTCACTTTGTCAGACTCATAGTGGCAAAGCAGAGAGTTTTTTAGATTCTCTCTCAAGTTCATTTGTGAGTCCTATAAGTAGACCAGTAAAGTATCCTGGATACTAGCAGTATCATACATAAAGAAATAAAGGAATTGATTTAAATCTTGGGTAAATGAGGAAATTAAAAATGAACTGATTCTAAAAAAGCTGTGGTTTGCCACTATGTAATGTCAGTGTTCAGTGAATTTGGGTAAATGCACCATATTCCGACACTGGGTAATTCCAACACCTTTTCAACTTTTTCTTTATAGTTTATATTAACTAAGCTTGGTAAGTTGGTCTTAGTTCCACGCATTGTGTCAATCTGTCAAAGCAGTAAGCATAGACTTTTTTAGACTTTCTCTCAATTTCATTTTTGATTTCTACAAGTAGACCAGTAAAGTATCATGGATACCAGCTTTATCATACATAAGAAATTGGTTTTAAATCTTGATTAAATGAGGAGATTAAAAATGAACTGATTCTAAAAAATCTCTAGTTTGCCACTATGGTTCCACGCATGCGTAGATGCCCGGAATTATGACACGACACTGTCAACACACACTCACACAGGGTGTCGTTCACTGTCATACTCTGACACAGCTCACTCAGGGTGTCATTCACTGTCATACTCTGACACAGCTCACATGCCACACAAGGGGTGTCGGAATTCCAACACAGGGTGTCGGAATTATGAATTAGGGTAAACGCGGTATATTCCGACATCGTAGGTAATTCCGTCACCTCTCCAGCTTTTCCTTTATATTACACTTCTTCATTGATTGTGTAATGTGGACTATAACTATAAGTCTACAACTTGAGGCCCGAAGAATACTTGAATCATCAAATGTGCATGTGCTGTAAAACCCTATGGGGTTAGCCCCCTTACAGTGCGGACTGCGGGGCCTGCTGGGTGGAAGAAAATTCACACGGAAGTTTTTGAGCAAGTGAAGGCTGGCAACTTCAGTATCAGTGCTGCACTGCTGCTGGCAGTGGCAACTGGCAAGGTATCAGCAATGATGGTGTCACTTTGTCAGTGACAGTGAGTCAGTGAGTTAGACTGTTAGGGTAAACACACCATATTCCGACACTGTGGGTAATTCCAACACCTTTTCAACTTTTTCTTTATATTAAGCTTGGTAAGTTGGTCTTAGTTCCACTTCCATGCATGCGTAGATGCCCAGAATTATGACACGACACTGTCAACACTCAACACACAAGGTGTTCACTGTTTTACTCTTGACACAGCTCACACGCCACACAACTGACATGAAGAGGTGTCGGAATTCCAACACAGGGTGTCGGAATTATGAATTACTATTTTGAAGTGCTGTTGGAATTAGTCTCACAATATGACGCATTTAGTCACACGGGATTCAGCAATTTTGTAGATTTGAATTCTAAAGGCTGTTAAATAAATATGGCAACAGTTTGAGTTTGTGACATTTTATCATTGCTGGCGCATAGTGTGGTCACTGGTCATTGTAGTGTTTTGTCTTTTGAGAGTGGCGTAAACCTATCAGAACTGGAGTTGCGCATACGGTGATCTATTTATAGGCATTTATTTCTTGCTACGTCCTTAAGGTGTTGGAATATGGTGTGTTCACCCTACTGAATACATTTGCAATTGTGCAAAGTAAGTATCTATCAGTCTATCACTGACTGATTGAGGGAATCAGTGATAGATTGTAGTAGATAAATTGCCCATAAACTCTCGATTCTTGAACTGTCATAAAGCAGGGTTAAAGCCAAGCATCCAGTGTTGGACTGTTGGACAATGAATGAACGCTTCTCTGAGACTGACAGACTGTTCCTTATTAATTCAATAATTGCAATTTGGCATTTGTTGAGTAATTTGAGTTTATCTTTGTCTCCTAGTCCTAGGTATCCTCTCCAGAAAAGAACCAGAATGTACTTTACTATTTTACTTAAATGGGTAGAATTGGAATCCAGGTGATTTTTTTGGGAAAGTTAATATGGATAACAGCTTAGAACAAAAATTATTTAAAGTATCCCTACGCTTTTTGATTCCTGATGACATTTCTCAGGTGAGTGCTTACTAACTTAACTATGGTTTTGCTTTTAGAAATTCACAATTGGATCACGAGAAGTGAGGATGTTGGTCCAGGCGTGCAGCGGTGCTTTCCCACTCACTTTTACTTCTGCGTCCATGTTATTCGCTGAAACATATAGTGTCAATTTTCATTTTTCTCATTCATCATTCTTAGGTATGTTGCCCTCCAGTGAAAATGAGGCTGTTATGAGGGTCCTGTTTGCCACCATGCTCCCACCAAAATTTCCTGCAGAACATAATCATTGTAATGTTAACAAGTCAACCTAAATGTTTAGTTGAAGATCGCGCATAGTTGTAGTCATGTCAGACAGAACGGTCAGACTGCATTAACACGTGTTCAGCTTACAGTATAGACAAATTTTATTATATTGTTGCCGTTTGACTGTTTTGCGGCAAGATTAGAGATTTGGGGTAACGCGTGCAGGGACTTTGTAAATAAGTTTGCAGCAGTGTAAATGACTTTTCATGGCCGAGATATGGAATTCACGGCTCAAAAAAATGGAATAATGGCTGGGCTGGCAAATCCATAAATCCACTGCTCCAAAAATTCAGTCATGGCTTGCCAAGTAGATATATTCCATGCCTGCTTGTGGCTAAGTTCTATTGCAATCCATCGATTGCTGATGTACCATGATTGAAATGGATATCCACAGCGAATATTTTTTTTGCTACATACCTTAGCAGTTGTAACTTTACAAAACATAGTTTTTCACCATTTTTTTTCAGAAATTTTTCAAAGCAAGTAAATGTAGTATTTTTCGACTTCCTTTATACTAGATAGATAGGAAAAGTAGTTACGTTTACGCCACTATTTGTAGTTTTGCGATATTCCAATTAGTTTCGCTACTACAACAGTTTTACGCCGTGTCATAGGCCTGTCCCGAGTAGCCCCGCCTGTCCCGAGTAGCCCCGGTTGACGGTAATGGTAGTCATGTCAGAGCGGTCAGACTGCATTAACATGTGTTCAGCTTAGAGTAGTATAGACAAATTTTATTGTTGCCGTTTGACTGTTTTGCGGCAAGATTAGAGATTTGGAGTAACGGGTGCAGAGACTTTGTAAATAAGTTTGCAGCAGTGTAAATGACTTTTCATGGCTGAGATATGGAATTCATGGCTCAAAAAATGGAATCACGGCTAGGCTGGCAAATCCATAAATCCACTGCTCCAAAAATTCAGTCACGGCTTGCCAAGTAGATATATTCCATGCCTGCTTGTGGCTAAGTTCTACTGCAATCCATTGATTGCAGTAGAAATGGATATCCACGCACAATGATCAGCAGGGACATATGTGTATTACAATTGATATGTCCAATGCACCATGTTTGTCACTCATGTTCTTCATTACAATCAATATGGCTGCTGAGCAATGATGAACAAGAATGTACTAGCTGCTGTAACAAGCATAACAATTAATGTGGCTAAAAGGCAACAGGCCATGGGCCTATTTCTTCAACGCTGACACTCTATTCTATTCTAAAAGCAATGATTGGTACATGCCTTGCTATTGATATGGCCAATGATTGAAATGCACCTGTGCTAATTATGATTGATGTGGCTGACATGCAATGATACCAATTACAACTGCCTAAAAATACACAGATTACAATTGCTGCAGGTAATGAATAAATATAAAAGCACTAAAGATAAGCAAGAGATATTCTGCTTGGCAGTGTCACATGTGGTTAACATTGAATTCTGCTGACAATGAGGCTATGCATTTGCCAAAGCCTGCACTCTGTCATTTTACTAGAAATTTTTTAAATTGCTGGTAAAATGTGCTGTTTTCTAAATTTTTACTGTAAAACTTAGTAAAGAGCTTTTTGGAGAAGGTTCAATTGACCACAAGCACAGCCATTTTTTACCACATTTGTGAGTGGTTTCTAACTTCTGCCCAATTTTTTACTTTGGACTTTAGGACACCTTGAGATAATGAAATCATTGAAGAGATTTCAAAAGATAATTTTTTCTCCCTATTCAGAGATTAATTAAGATGCAAATTATATTTTAATAGTTTTTATGCATTTTTGCAAGATAAGATGGTTTCACAATTCAGGTGTTATTTAATTATATACAGTATTCGCCAACCTAAATCCAATGTGGAATCTATGACTAAAATGAGCTATTATCCTTAATTTTTACAAAATATATTAGGAAATAGTCATAAGGATTGGGTGAAATTGATAAAACATGCAGGTCTTTTTACCTCATTCTGTGGTTGCTCTGCCCAATTCTACTGTATTGGCCTCTGCCAGATCAATGTGACCACCTATGTGATCTAGAATTCCACTATGGTGATATAATGATGCACCTGATTAGGCTGACTTGTTGTTGTCTACTCTGTTATGTGGAATTATGCATATACTACTTACATATCTGGTACATAATACTACAGTCAAAATATGTATAGGTATATCTTTTCAAAAGATCTTCATGATGCTCATGATTTTGAAAAATATGTGAATATTTTTGGCAACAAATCTTGCATGCTAAGGTAGGTAGTTCTGGCTACAAAATCCTCAATAATATTAGCAACATCTAAGGCCTGAAAAAACTTGATAACTGCACTCTGCTCTGTATAATTTGATTAATGTAAATTACCCTATATAAATTTGTTTCAGATCAAGGAGCTGTGTGGGGACTGGTTTCCTATTGATTACCCTCCATTTTGGTACGAATGCATCACAGAGACAGACCAGTACTATGCTCTTGCTGCTTTGCACAACTCAACCATCATTGGACTGCTGGTTGCACAAACAAAACCTCTGGCTGATATGAATCCTGAGGTGAGGGATTTAACTTGAGTACTTTAAATTATTAAAATGGGCTCATGTTTCTCAAATAATATCTATCTGGTGCCTTTAGACTTTCCTCTTTTCCTACTTAATGAAATTATTTTTTAAATGATAACTGTAAAATTGCAAGCTGTGCTCTCTGTAGGTGTTTTTAATGAAGAGCATAAGATAAAATCTTATTTCTGACAATTATTCTGTGGTACGTAGTGTCCATATTCATATTCATAAATGAGTTGAAATGTTGTTTTAATTTTCATCTAAAACAGTTATGTACTATACATCTAAAATTATTGCTTCTGCCAATTAAACATTAATTATTTTATTTATTGTTTTTACTCTTGTTCTTGCTCTGGAAAAATAGAATAAATTGTTTGCAATAATATAAACAAGTTAAGGAATTACCGTATTGTTAAAGTGTTGAATATTGCTTGTCTGATCAGAAGTTGCCTGTACCTAACAAAGTCATTTCAATTGTTTTAACAACCCAGAAATTTGTTCTTCACTTGGCATCTGCAATTTACCAGAAAGAAAATATATCATGAATACATATCCATTTTACAGCAATTAATTTACATTGTTGAATCACAGAATCAGCTTCAGTTTAAAATGGGAACTAAATGATTCAGCAACATTATGTTCAGCAATGTCATTCCTTCAAGAACCCTTCAGTTTAAATATAAAGTCTTGGAATGGCTTAAATCTGTTTTTAGAAGTTAATTCCTTGTCTTTTTTATGACTTGAATTACCATTTTTGCTCATTGCCACCAATTTTATATTGGATGACTTTAATCTCGCTTAACTGATTTTGTATCCTGAGACCTAATTTACTTTGTCTTGATTGACATTAATTGTAAAAGTTTTATTACCACCATTAAATTTTTCAGAACATTCTTTGGTGGTATTTTTTGTGAGTATTTTTTTTTAAAGTTTTACTAGCTAGCTGAATAGATGATGACTAGAAACACCTATAGTGTGTATATATATACATATCTGTGTCGATAGCATGGCACAAGTCATGTGAATTTACTCTTAATGATTTATAGCTAATATAAGGTGATAAACTTTGCATTATTTATTCAAGCTGTAAGATTGCTGATTATGTAAGCTGTTCTCGTTTTAAAATAATTCAACTATTTGATGAGCAGGTAGACAATGTGATCAAATTTGTTAGGTAATCTGAAAATGTAAAAAGTTGTTCAACTTATTTAACTGATATTTAGATGTTAATAGATAGAAATCTGTTTATAATTTCATACATTTATTTCATGGAGCCCTTCTGTCACGATTACAGTAAGTTCTAGTGACCTCCAGAGGTTGTGGGACCAAATATATATCTACCTTGAAAATGTTTAGTTTTATTAAATTTTATCATCTTTGTGCTCTACTGTAATTAGTTGATTCTTGGACATTCATTCACATCTAGTAACATTGATGCACTTGCAATTCTTTATTGAAAACTCTTAATTTCACCTTTGATTAGTAATGTTTTTGCTATGTGTAATACGTAATTGAGTTTTAATCTATTGGTATTTGAAAAATTTAATCTATTAAAAAATTGTTTTGGTGAGAAATTTTTGCAACAGCTTCTATTAAAGAATTAAATTTTTTTCATTCAAGAGACTCCAAAATAGTTCTCACCCAAGTTTTTATTTTGTTAAAAGTATGTACAACTCTTATTATTTGTATATAAATTGTGACTGTTACTGAAAACCAAATGTGCTTTTATATTAGTTGTTTTTGAGTTCATAACCCTGCAGTGACTAATTTGCATTTGTCTGTAGATGAAATCATAACATAACAATCTATTGTATTTAGTTAATGCACTATTCTAAAAATCTCCTTAGGAACTACCATGAAGTGACTTGGTATTTGTGCTACAATGTAAACATGGCCAAATTGTTTCTTATTAATCTTATCATCTCATTTAAAGTCTGCTGTATTAAAGAAACTTTCTTATAATGTTGGTATAAATTTGAATAGACATTCAACTTGTAGTGCTTTGCAATATTATGAATTAATACATTTTTCATCCATAGCTGAAAATTGTTCCTTCTTTTCTACAAGCTTGTAGCAAGCTTTATTCATTAAAAATCATAAAATTTTGTTGTTAGGGATTTTTAAACAACTGATAATTATTATTGAAACTATGTTAACTCTCACTTCAGATTGTTAAGTTGCATTATTATTTTGAATTATTTTAAATTTGCCAATATTTACTAGTATATTTACATTTGTTTAAAATGTTTGGTTAAAAATAATGCCAGTTCTATTGAGAACTTCTTTTAAGTTTAATTTCTCTAGCTTTCTGATAATAGGTACAATGTACATTGATAAAGGGTACAATATATACTGTACGTACATAACCAAACGTGTCTAAATGGAGAGCTCTACCCTAAATATAGTACAGATTTGTTTAAAAGTAAATTGTGTGAGGCTTTGACATATACATATTCTTCAGACCATGCCACATTATTGAAACTTGTCTTCAGGATTAAAAAAAAATAGAGTGAGAAATGTAGCTATTAAAGAAATTAATTTTTATACCAAAGTTAGAGATTAGAATAGTATGGTCATAAATTAGTTCACACCAAAATCTGTATAATTTACTTAATTTGTTGATAGAAAATCTTTACAAAGTACCCATAAGAATAAATCCCTTTCACTTTTTTCCATTGTCAGCCATTAGAAGTTGTGGCTTTTTTTTAATTTTGTATTAATGGCTCATAAGTAAAAGTGAATATTGTAAAATGTACGTCTATGCTTGAAAGTTTTTCTCCTCATAAACCACTATGAGCATTTTTTTCATTGGTAATAGTTTGATACAAGGAAGTGCAGATTGTGATTTTCTCTTCCTCACCAACTTTTATGTGTAGTACCATATATATTTATAACTTTTTGGCGTAGTATATATACCTACATGAGTCACTTTTAGAGGTAGTATTCACTTTTAACTGTGGACTGAGTTAACTAAAAGATTTTGTATCTCAGTTACAATGTTTGTATTCCAGGACCATCAGATTCTTTTGCATGCTGACCTTCATGATGGCAACATTGGTTACATCCTGACTCTTGGAGTACGGAAGCCATACAGACGACTTGGTCTGGCCACCCTCCTTCTGAACCAGTACATGGAACACCTAAGGCTTGACTGCCATATCAAGTTACAAAATTTCAACCTCACCGAACCCAAGTGTTTGGGCTCCAAAACACCAATTGACTTTAAAGCCTCCCAATTTCCTGGTCATGTGAACAACGCTGATCTCAATGAGGGTGGAATGTCAAGTTTCTCAACTACTGCTCAATTGGGTGCACCTGGGCTGCTGGGTTCTGAATTACATTTTAAAGTCAAAGTACAAAAGTTGCCAAACTCTGAAAGTAGAAGAGATGTTCTTAGTGCTTCAAAACCTGGTGAAACTCTCGAGAATGCCTTTGACCTTCAAAAATCTCAGTGCCAGGAGCTGAAATCTGAATTAGGCAAAAATGGGGAGAAAAAATTCAATAATGATTTGAACAAATGTTCATCTAATGGTCTGTTCCAACCAGAAATCAATGATCCCTTTCATGTTGCTGTTTCTGAATCTTGCCTGGCTCTGCAAAACTTGCCTAATATCAACTCTCTCAGAAAAAGTTCACACCTGTGTACTTCAGGCGACAACTGTTTTTTCAGAAATTCTCAAATCTCATATGCCAGTAATTCAATTTCATCCATTTCTAATGCTGGAAATTGTCATGACTGGATGCACCTAGTTGATGTTGATAATAGATACATGGCGTTGATTCAGAATAGCCCTTCCACTGATCCCGAAAATCAAAATTATATTTCAAATAATAATACTCGATCGGAAACAACAATTTGTCAAACGCTTCCAGCCACTCTGAAAAATAATAATAATTCTGAGGTCATAATACCAATGCCTGAAATTGAACCAGTGAATAATTTCAATGAAAATGGTGTTAATAATTCTACTGAAATTGATCAGTTCGGAGGAAAAACCCTTACAATTCCTGACATAAACTGCAACATTGGAGAAACTCTGGATGACTGTCCTGAAAAGGTTATACAGAATGAAGAAAAACCTGGATCCAGTAAAGGAAATCTGGGAAAAGTTAATCAGACGTTTGTGCCGATAAATGATAAGAATTTTTCCACCAAGTTCTCTAGTAAACTGGAGAACGACAGTGATACCCTCCCATGCAAGACTGGTCACCTGGATACCACTGCCAGCCATCCCACAATTTTGAGCTCGTACATAGTGGAGGTGAGATGGTCCAACAGTTATAAAGCTTTGTCTGCTCTGCTCACACGTTAATCGTCGTCATTGCTATTCGTTGCTAAAAGTCTGATAACTAAAGTTAGTTATTATCATATGGTTTGCCATTAGGCCCAGAGTTTGCCTTTGTTTTTCTTTCTATATAATGTGGAAATTAGAGACAAATTTGTTATGAAAATCATTCAAGTATAGGTGGATTACTCTCATGATTGAATATAATGGAGGATGTTATGATGTGCAGAGCGAGGTGTCGCACAACGATGTGTTACAGAGACTGAGGTGCTACAGCGCTGCTCATGCCGACGCGCCAGTCACGGCTGTGCTTCTCCACGTGCTCTCCACCAACGCCGAAGCTATACACTTCTACACGAGAAGGAACTTCTCGTGAGCTCTCGAACATAACTTTATAAACCATTCATCAATTCATTCTCATGGCTGTATATCTTTTAAATACAAGCATCCATTATTTTTACGTAATGTCTATATTTTGCTGTTATTATGAAGCAAGTATTCATCCTGTGTTACGTCCATTAAAATAAATATACAAAATCTCATGGGCTATCTTGAGAAAAATTTCCATCAAATCATCTCTTTATCGTTGCAAATAAAATTAACAACCCCAATTCTAGTTTGCATAACTGCATGAGTTTTGATGTGATGTTCTCAAACCTAAAAATACGTTTCAATGAAAGTGTCATCTTCTTTCTCTCACTTTTCTGATACCCTACAATTTTTACTTAGAAATTCATTTGGCATTAAGTGAAACTTTTTTTCTTTAGGCGTCATAATTTTCTGCCTGTGAATACACAAGAATTTTTACTAAATTCAATTGGCATTATTTAAACCCTGTGTTGTTCTGCAGGCGTCTTGCTTTTCTGCCAATGTTTTACCTCATCAAAGACTCCCGTATGGACGGCTACTCGTACGTCTTCTACCTGAACGGCGGGGAGCCTCCAACATCGTTCTTCTCAGACCCATTAAAATCTCTTGATTTGCCTCCGTCCCCATCATTGAGTGACTTCTCGTTGGTGCCCCTCAAGATGGCAGGGAAAGTTGCCCGTTGGGTGCTCGGTCCCGACCGTACTCGTGTGATGAGCTTTGTAGTCACCAGCTTCTTTGAGCTCATGGGAAAAATGGTGACGTCATTGGTAGGAACTGACAACAGATGATGATGGCTTGTGATGATTAACCGAGTTGGGGACGCTTAACTAGGTGGGGTTCTCGAAGAAAATGGTGAAGTTGATAGCGTGCCCTGATTCGAGATGTATACTTGAACTAGCAATGTACGTATGTGTATATACAGTATGTTGGGTTCATACAGACTATAGAGCATTTATATTTCGTTTAAGCCGTTGGATGTTATTCACCGAAATTTTAATTTTTTCTCTGTGCAATTAAAGAGTCATGTTATTTCCTCGTCTTCTATAGAAAAATTCGTTTTTATCATGTTTTTACGATTTTATTCTAATAAGATATGTTACTTTATTACACATAGTTGTGCTAGGCAGTATTTTTTCCAAAGCAAACTGCCCTTTAACGCTTCAGAGGCAGTTATAACTAAAGTTGCGCATTCAGCACATGCAAAGTTTTTGAGGTTTCTTACTTAAATCTTTGTCTGCAATTTGCTTTTGACACCAAAAATAATTTTTAATGTGGATTTTTAGTCTCAAAGCTCTTGTGTACATTCCGGTTTCCGATGCTTAAATGAAGGTTGATCTTAGTACACTATTGCCGTAGCTGCAGCATGTGCACTTCTCTGCCTTGTCTTAATACTAGTCTGGTTATCTTGTGTCCTCTAGTCGCAACTAGTCTAGCCATGATCCAAGGTAGGATTGAACTATTAGGGAGTATGATCAGAGTTGAATGCGATGTGTCTTAAATGTGTCTAGGTGCTGTGACCCAAGTCTCAAGCATAACCTGATAACCTAGTAAGTAGCGTCTATAAGCACTGATTTGTCCGCTATAAATCTCATTCCTGCTTCAGAGAGGCCATCAGAAATATGAACGGTTCTCAGAGCGGTATTATCTCAGTCGCTCAAATCTGTACCGTTACTCATTCGAGATTTGTTTCTCATAGTCATCCCTTTCTGTTTCCTTATCTTTAGGAGACATTTCTCTTTGTTTCCTCATCCTTAGCAGACATTCCTCTCCACATTCCTCTCTGTTTCCTCATCCTTAGCAGACATTACTCTCTGTTTACTTTATCCTTAGGAGGCATTCCTCTTCAATCCCCATTACGTTCGTACTACTCATTTCAGGTATGAATTAAATTCACTAGATAATTAAAAGTTTGTAAAAATATTCTGGAAAATATTACTTCTTTTAAAAGATAATTTTCTAGAAGTAATATTGAAAGGTTGAAAATTCTGTCCATGCAAATGAATTTCTCAATTACCTGTTGATGGTAATTTTTTCTTGCCCTCTGAATTTTCTCGTAAAAGCAAGGGAAAGGTTACCGTTGACTTTCATCGAAGTGATCTAGAATAAGTTATTGTGGTTATGTGTTTTTAAATACTATGTGGGACTTCTATTTAAAATTTCGACCAGTCAACGAATTATATTATATTGAAATTATTGCGCTTCATTTGTCCTGTTTTCAAATGCTACTGCAATAATTTCATTATCCAAACTAATCCAATTATATCTAGCTCTCCAAAAAAGGTTATGAAACAATATACAACTAAAACAGTTTCATTTAACCGAAGATAAATATCCTTAATCACGTCATATAGTCAGTCTGACTATTTGCGTTAACGCATTCACAAGTTTAGAATTAAATTCTTATTTCCGCGCATTTACTCAACTTCAGCAGTCTGTTAAATAAAGAAACATAGAAAGGTGACGATAGCATAGATTTTTCTTTAGGTACTAATCAAAATGTTAATCGGCGCCTGTTAGTAATGCTGTCAGTTCAAAGCCGGCTAGAACTCAAAACAGAAGGCCATGCTAAGCTGACAGTAGAAATGGTGACATCAATGGACTTGCCCCTTGTTTCAGGGAGAGTGAACGTGACTTGGACGACACAAACCAGGCAGAAGAAGGCGTAGATCCAGAAGGTGGTATAGTACCCTAAGGCGTCCGTAATGAGAGGGTGCAACTGGCACGTCAAAAACGCACCCATAAAGAGCACGGCGTAAGTGGCGCCTATGCCAACAGCGCGAACTTCAGTCGAGAAAACTTCGTTCCGTAGTAGTAAGATGGAGGGCACTCCTATAGCAGTCAACAATGAGTACAATGTAATCGTGGTAGCCGGGACAAAAGCAAAGTTCGTTAAATCAATAGTCTGGTACTTAGCCATGAAAAAACCTCCGAGTAGTGCCAGTTGAGTACAAGAAATAATGGTTGACCAAATGAAAAGGGGTTTTCTGCCAACTCGGTCAACGAGAGCCGTGAAGAAAATGGCACCCGTGACCATTCCGATGCTGGTAAGAATCGTACTCGTGTACATGTCGAATGAAGCCTCACTAGCCATAAATATTTACGTAGTGTACGACATGATCGGAGGGTAGCCCGTAAACTGCAGAAACAGCATGAGGAAGATCAGAGACAAGAAATGACTCCTCATCGGCCTTTCAACTAATTTTTGTAATTGGCTCCAGGTATTTATGCCATGCTAGGTGCCCGAAATGTGCGAGTTGATCCTGCTGAACTGAGTGTAGACGTCATGTTAATCGCCGTAGAAGAATCGTATTGCCTTGTATGCTTGATCCACCTTCGCGTTCATCACAAGCCACCTGCAAAAATTAGTATATATACCGTACAGGACATTTTCCTAATAGAATTCGAGCGTTATGTACCTATATTGATTTAAGAAATATTCTACATTTTACCGTTTTTTAACGCGTGCACAAACACAAAAATTCATGCTTGATAAGCTTCGGTGGTTTAGGGTTGCTCCATGGATGGCATTTATTTTTTATACTACAAAGCAGATCGTCAAAGGCTGCTTTGACGATCTGCCACCAAGACTCAAAGCAAAACAGTGAAAGTCGCCAGCACTTACCTCGGTCAGTGAAAATACACGCATTGCAGACTGCTAAAACTCACCCAGGCAGTGGCTGCTACCATTCACACAGGTAGGCTGTTCACCAAGGCAGTGACTACTGCCTTCACCCATCCAGCCCGCTACCGCTAACCTCGGGGAGTCGGGATAGAAGAGCAGTCCGATGAAAGGCAAGACGGTGGTGGGCACGCCGCAAATGAGAGCTGTGTAGCGCCAGCTCATGTTGCTGCTGCCCACTGAGAACACCAACACGTACCCCAGCTGACGCACGATGTCCAACACGCCTGCTCAACAGAAGCAGCAGTTACTTTTCATGTTTGGAGAAGTCATTTTATCTTTATTTAATTGGTCTCAGATAAATTCCACCCTTAGATCTGAGATGTTGAGCAATAGTTTAATCTTAAACGGTTAAATTCCTAACTTAAGCGGCAGTGGCATTCCAGATGTATTTTCAAAGTTATATAGTGATATAAATCATTTCTTTCTGTTTGTGACAGAAACTTATTTTGCACATTATGTCTGACGATCTCTCTAGTTACCACGCATTTGTACTACGACAGCATTGATAAAAATGTACCGTGAACAACGGATCAGATCAACCTCATGTCTATCAATGTTAATTCTAGTTATGTGGTATAAATATAGTAACAGGCAGGACCAAGGATCAAGCTCCTGTCCACTGACGATAACTCTAGCTCCTCGTCTCTCAGATAGGAATATTGTATCAGTAGCCCATAAAGTTAAGGTGTAAAAAGTCGGCCAATATACGTATCAGTAGCTAATAAAATTAAGGTGTTTAAAGGAATATTGTATCAGAAGCCCATAATGTTAAGGTGTAAAAACTCGGCCAATATATCAGTAGCCAATATAGTTAAGGTGTTTAACTGCGTGCACGGACCTGTCATGCTGCCTCTGATGCTGGCGTGCGACACCTCGACGATGTAGCTCACAGAAGGCCCCATGAGAAGCCCCACGATGACGCCCTGCAGGAGGCGCAGCATAAGCAGCAGGTGCACGTCCTTGGCCAGGGCGATGACCACCCACGTCGCAAGCGCCCCTGGCAGACAGCACAGCAGGGCACGACGCTGGCCCACCGCCACCATCAGAGGACTGCTCAGTAGACCGCCTGCCACTGCGCCTAGGTTCACCAGGCTTGCTGCACCAGAAATTAAATACATAATCAATTAAAATAAGTAGTAAATGTAACCAGCATCTCAGGTCGGATTCAATTTTTGATCCAAACTCTTTGATTGGTAATTCAAATAAAATCATTAATAATTAATTTAAATAAGTAGTGAAAGTAACCAGCTTTTCATGTCAGATTCAATTTTTGATCCAAACTCTTTGATTGGTAATTCAAATAAAATCATTAAACCAAATTTTTCGCCTAAACTAACCCAGATATGACATGAAGTCTTCACTCGCTGCTAAATATCATTCAAATCTGAGTATAAATAATTAACAACTATTTATGAACTTGATTTATTTTTTGCTCAAATTTACAAAGCCATATAAATACCGAAGAGAGCTGCTTCCGTTTCAGTGAGTTGCAGATCATCCTGTATAGTTTAGCTTTTCCTGCCGCCGATGGTGCTGTTAGCGCCGGTACTGTTGAAGCCTGTTGAATTGAACCCTGTGGAGTTGAAACCTGTAGCGTTGAAGCCAGTGGAGTTGCTGGTAAGCTGCAGCTACCCAGTCAGCTGCGGCAACGACACAGCAGGAAGTCCGAAGACCACAGCAAGGCCACAGTGCACCAGAGACACCACTAGAGCACAGGGCACCTGCCGGATAGAACGATGAGATCGTGCTGGCCCTCAATTTTTTTAGAGGTTTCGAATTTTAATCATGTGTTGTATGTACTAAAGTAATGGGCATGAGAAAATAACTAAACACAATCTAGCTTAATATCTTGGAATTATAGAATTATATCCTAAAGTTTTACTTATAAATTTTTAATTAGACTTATAGCCTAAAGTTTTACTCTACGCTGAATAGCAATCAAGGAATTGCCACCCATAAGGTCAGAACCATATATGGCATCTAAATTCAACGATACGTGCAAACTTGACACATGACTAATAAAATAAAATGCAGGAATCCGCAAAATCTGTATATAATAAAATTTATTTTCATAGCTTGATATAGCATTAACCATAACAAGTTAGTTAGAACGAAGGTATACGTATACCACACCTGTACTTTGAGATTTAACCCAGCTTCAGTTTCGCTACTGATGCTGCCGCTGGACTATTGGTGCTCTTAACAGCCACCTAAAGAAGATAAATGACATTCACTAGAAAGAAAAAAACTACTATGAAAGAAAAAAACTTTGACTCAGAATCGCCACTAAAACCACTGCATCAACGAAAACTTGGAAAGCCATTGAAACATGGCATTTTTTCGTCCAATGATCTATTTCGCCTACTAGCTGCGATAGAATTCAACTTTAAATTTTGATTTTGATGATCCGTATAACAAAATCAAAATTTTTGGACTGAAAGTGAATGGCAATCTATCATATGAACTCGTTTTAATTCAAGGAACTTTTTGCGCTACGCAAATTTACTTTAAAACGTGCATAAAATGATATTAATTGGGCAAAGAGCTACTGATAATGATATTGCTAGCGTTTCAGCAAGCATATGTATAAATTCCATCATTTTGTGCATTACGATTAAAGTTTGCTGTAATTACGTAGGCCAGTAACTAAAGTAAAGTCGATCTTACTATTCTTAGACCAGTTAGACGTATACTCAATAAGTAAATTTTCTCAATTCCAAAACATTGTTAGCAAAATACCATATTTCTGAAACTGCAAGAGTACACTACTATATTCTGCGTAATTTTTTTTAATACATTTTAATGAATTACAATCAATACATGAGAGCAATCAATCAACAACAAATTAGCACATACCTTTCGCAGAGCTCTTGTGTGCATTACCCATCGCTTCAGAGTGTTTCCCGACATTGAACTTGAACCGCTGCACTGACACCAAGTCATAGACAGCAGCAGCGGGAAACATTTTCCCGCTGTTATTCTTTCTAATGCATTTGTCGTCCGTGGCTAGACTCTCTATCGCATCTATATATAAAAAACCTTTCCTACTTCTAAAAATTTATATATATTATTCTAAATCCATATTTCAACACGTTGTTACATGCACTCGGATATTAGTTATATATAATAAAAAGTGAAACCACTAAATTGTTTACTAGTAGTCGTGTGTAAAACTTTGTCTTCTCTACTCACATTACATTTCGTCATGAATTTGCGAAAATAATGATTTCAGTCTCCAACAAGTTGACATAAAATCTTACTTTCATAGTTGTCTGGCGAGAAATTGATAAAAATTAATTTAAATTTATTGAGGAAATAAGTCTCCAATGGCTAATTGATGACCTAATTGCAACTCCGAGGTTTTCCCGGAAGCTTCAAACAGTTGATGTCGAGTTCCAGCAACAGAAAAAGGAAAATTTGGAGTAGTGCGTGACAGCGTGTTTGAAGCCTGCAATGCCCTAACTTACAATTAATTCCTACCCGTAAACAGATATGCTGCTAGAAAGCTCAGTTGGTTAAACACTAGGAAATATTAAATACAACATGAACCAATAATCATGCCCGTACCTCAACACTTCTGACTCTTGGCTTTAGATTGATCCAGAGGCGAGTTGACTGATTTATTGACTAGATTGTCTAGTGAAGTGTGGCGCTGAGTATTTCAGTCCCGTGCGGTACTGCTGGTAAAGTTTACAGTTAATCTAGGTTGGAATGTGGATTGTCTGCTCCGAGGCTGAGTATAGTTAGCCTACAGCATGTTTGAGCACGGCGTTGTCTATATAACGGTTTGTTTAAAAGTTAAAATTTTGAGGCACGCGTCTGCGCTCTGCTATCATGCACCGTGAGTAACAATGTAAGCGTCACAAACCAAACGGACGGTTTCGATTGGCCCGAGTTTTCCAAATTAAAAATTTTCGTACGACCATCAAAAAAAGTCTTAATGGCCAGTGACCAGAAAGTCAGCGAATATAAGATAGACGAAGAACGGAAAAAAGATCAATTGCCACCAACGCAAACGAAGACACTCGGGCAGAGGTTGCCTGTTATATCCGTGTTAACTGTCTTGCATTAATTAAGTCACAAAATGAACATCAGTTAACAGTAAAATCTTTCGAAAGCCTAGCAAGAATCAATATATATCACTAACAAGGATCGGCACAGCATCAAATGTCAAGAGCACAAGAGAAGAGCGGCGTAATTAAACGGGACACAGAACGGAGAGGAAATAGGTAAAACAGACGAGATTAGATTCACAGACCGTTGCATTGGTCACAGATCGCGTTGGTCACACGTTCGAGACAGAAAATTGATTACTGGTATCCAGAAGGCTATCTACTAAGACCTTTGAATAGAATAGAAGTATGGACACAGAAGAAATAAGCCCATGGCCTGAAGAGGAAGAAGCTTCTGAAGAGAAAGAAGAGCCTTTTTAGCATCAGGTTTTGAAAAAAAGATAGAACTTCAGTTCATCTTTATTATTTTATCCATTTAAGAAGGCACATATTAACACTTAGGTTTAGTAGCAAAATACAAATCTTTAAAATCTAGTTGACTTTTTCAGTCTCATAATGGAAGATAACAGCAACGAGAATGAAGATAATGAACAGCCTAGAATAAATTTCTTGTCATAGTCGTCTCGATTGGCATTACTTCCGAGGTAGTGAAGACTGTTCAATGATTACTGCACGCATGATGCTTGCACGTCCTCTGACGTTATATTTGCGCACAATTCTAAGCAGGAAAACAAAAAAAATGAATAATTCTACCAAATAAACATAACAGATCAACATTTCCAGAAGTGACGGGATTTTTATTTGTACATTCATCAAAATATATAAAAAAATAGGGGAAGTAACTCTGACATGAGTAGCTCTGGTGGTAGGAGTCGAATAACATTATCGATATGGTCACAGAGCATATTCGATATAATTATTGTAATTGTCGAGGCGTGATCAATTCTTCATCAACTAACTAAGGCATCAATAAACAAGCAGAAACGTTGAGAACACTGATCTTTCAGTGTGACACAAAACTATGTAAAAATCAGGGTAGGACAAAGTAGTAAGACATAAGTAAGGATATAAGGTGAGGCAGACAACATCCTACATAAGAAAGTTAGTCTTGCATTCCTTCTTCAGTCAAGCCAAGTAATTTTTTACATCGTTTATGTCAAAACCCTGTAAATAAAGAACAAGGTAGCCTGCGACTTCAAATAGTCTGTACCAGAAATAACCTGCATCTGCAAGGATGTAACGACCGTATTTATTCTTTGAGATGGGAAGGCACACGTTTATCAACTTTTGAGCGTAATACTGTGAATAAGAGAAGACATCATATTATATACCTTTTTACTATCTTTTCTGCAGTACAGAACCCGATGCTGGCTGTTCAATGGTCGTTAGAAGTCGCTACTGCCCATAATTATGACGGACATTTCTAGTGAGGATTTTTTTGCTTCGTTTTCGAATAAAACTAGCTACTTTCTAGCACCAAACAAATATACAAATAATCAGCCTAATAAAATATTTTATTTGCGTACAAGAGACCTAAAATAACGCTGTATAAAAATAATGCAGTTATACAGCAAAATGGAAGGATTTGCAAGGCTTTGCCATAGCAACAACCAAACCAGATTAAGCTTCAAAAATTGATCATATTAAAATAATGGTACTGAATTCCTTAACGTTCATGGGAGAGTTAAAATTAAACAAATACTTTCTTTGGTCCTATGACCTATCACAGTCTTTCTACGTCAATCCCTGGGTTGACGATCCCGTCATATTGAGGAGTCATTGGTTTCTCGGGAGCATTACCGTTAGGTTTATCACTCGTCCCAATAGGACCAACGGGAAAGAAGGCTCGAGGCTCAACGAGCACTTCTCCATTCTCATTTTTGTAAGAGGTTATGTCAGAGGAGGGATTAACCACGACCACATTCGGCGGAGGAACTTGGTCATTGTGACAGGACGCGCAACACGGCAGCCTGCTCATGACTTTGTCGTAAGGTTCTAGAGATCGCAGAGGCGCAGGGAGGAAGACCCAACTACGGAGTTTGTTAGGCAAGAATTTCGGTGCTTTGGTCTGAAGGATGTTGATCAGAATGATGGTGGCGATGAGCACCAAGATGGGAATACCTACACAGTAGAGAACGATGTTGCCACCTGGGATCAAGAAACGGGGGTAACGATTAGTAAAAGCTGCAGTTGATGAGGAATTGCGCACAATTTACTAGAGCTAAATTTACTCAACAAATTAAAAATACTAACTACATAATTGCACAAGAATATATGAGAATATATTTAGAATAAAATATATAATATGAGATCAGTTGACAAGTGTGTTACTCAATTCCCTCACCAAGCGAGAGCACGAATACGAATCCAGGCATGAGGAAGAAGGTGAAGATGAGGTAGAGGACCGCGAACCATCGATACTTGGCCGTGATGTTGCCCAGGCCTTTAGCAAGGACAATAGGGAGGCGCGTGAAGGGAATTGGGTAGAACATGATAATCCCGAAGATGTTGAAGAAAAGGTGCACCAGAGCGATCTGACGGAAGAGATAACGTAACAAATGTAGAATATAGAATGAACTCAAAACTATTAGAGAAAAAAATTTTCATACATAATCATATTGAATCAAGTTGTTCAGACTTGCGAATTCTATTGGGACTATTATTGTAAAAATTTGTTCATTAGTGATAAGTATATTCAAGTTAAGTAAAGTCAAGCCTTGAAGGCCATAAAGTATTTTCAACGGACCTGAATAGAATTCTTGATGCCTGCCCCAGTGCCAGCGACGGCGGCAAGTAAAGCTGTGGTGGTGGTGCCGATGTTGGAGCCCAGCGTCAGAGGATAGGATCTGTCAACCGTGATCAAGCCGAGTCCTGTTACAACACATAATAATTATTAAAAAACTGTTCAAACACGCAATTAAAACACTGTTCAAACACGCAATTAAAGCACTGTTCCATCACGCAAATAATCACTGTTCAAACACGTAATTAAAGCACTGTTCAAACACGCAATTAAAACACTGTTCAAACACGCAATTAATCACTGTTCAAGCACTGTCTCTTATACACATCTAGATGTGTATAAGAGACAGGATATATTAATAGGACNGACTGGGTTCTAAATTATTGTACAGCTAGAGGCCTGGATTCTAGATTATTGCACAGCTAGAGGCCTGGGCGGCGATCCATTGTGGCCTGGGACTGCTATGTTCCAAATAAGTACCAAGTTCTAGCTTGTTGCACAGTTGGAGGCCTGGGTTCTAGATTATTGCACAGCTAGAGGCCTGGGTTCTAGATTATCGCACAGCGAGAGACCTGGGTTCAACATTATTGCACAGATAGAGGACTAGGTTCTAGATTGTTGCACAGCTAGAGGCCCGCGGGTTCTAGATTATTGCACAGCTAGATGCCTAGGTTCAAGATTATTACACAGCTAGATGCCTGGGTTCAAGATTATTGCACAGCCAGATGCCTGGGTTTCTAGATTATTGCACAGTTGAGGCCTGGGTTCTAGATTATTGCACAGCTAGAGGCCTGGGTTTTAGATTATTGCACAGATAGAGAGGCCTGGGTTCAAGATTATTGCACAGTTAGATGACAGGGTTCTATATTACTGCACAGATAGAGGCCTACGATTTATAACAATCTCTAGGAATGTGACCTGTTATGAATATGACACAGATAGGGGCAGAGGTTTTAGATTGGCCTCCATGAATTTGACTTACGGTGGATATTACACACTGCACAGCTAGTGGCCTGGCTGTAAAACAAATATCTAAGAACGTAACTTTTGGAGGAGATTTCACAGCCAGAGGCCTGCCCAGGGGCCATACTTTCAAAACTCGCTAAGTGAACGTAATTACTTACGCTCAATTATCTCGTCTATGATTGGTGGATTTTGCTCCAAAAGCCGCCAATGATTGGCTGATGAACTTACGATCTCTTAACTTTTTTGAAAGTATAGGCACTGGGTTTCAGATTAATCTCTAAGAATGCGACTTACGAAGATAATACAGCTAGAGACCATGCTACTAAACCTCTAGAAATTAGACCTTCGTTGCAGATAACACAGATAGAGGCCATGATTCAAGAATAACCTTTAGGATTGTGACATGCGTTAAAGATAGTATATTTATAGGCTATATAAATGAACCTCTAATAACCAGGCACAACGATGAAAATAGTATTAACGCCCTTTAAAATGGTGCAAACGACTTGTGATCGATCGATCTAAGGTGAAGGTAATAACGATCCAAGACAATAAATCGAGATTTGTCTTACACGCGGTTATAATAATCAAAGAGGAAAATATTTAATAAACTTCACCTTTCATGATGGAACTCAGGATCTTGACGATCAAGACTAGAGCCACACAGAGAACGAGCAGAGATGCCATCAGAAGAATGATGCCAACCTGAAATTTACGATAATATCATCATTATCTCATATCTTTTATATCATCATTATCTCATATCATTTATATCATCATTATCTCATATCATTTGTATCATCATTATCTCATCATATCATAATATCATCATCATTTCATCGTGACAAGTTGATCGAAATAACTCATAGTCTCATTCATACGTGCCTCCATGGAGGACGCTAAAATGTTGGTCACACGACTCACACCTAATTCATACAATAAAATATTTATAAGCAGATTTTTTTTAAATAGCTATTGCCAGTCTCAAATTTATTTGTTACTGAGAATGAATGCAAAACATCGGATAACGAACAAACGAAACCATAACGTGTGCAATCTGAAAAAAATTCTACAGCGACAGGTACTATTAAAAATATAGTACCATCAACACGTACGGTATATATTTAAAATAGGTAAAATTTACAACGATACAGAGCCATTTACTATATAATAAACATTCATTGATACACAATAAAAGGCCATGAAAATCTTTAAATAGACATCCGAATGTAGGACAAGAAAGTCACATTCACAAAGATTTATATTAGCAAATCAACGATCTCAAATGGCCATGAGCATTTCAAGCAACACATCATACAAAGAATTTATAATCAAGAGCACACATCATACAATGAATTTAATGAGTAAGTTCATGTCACATTTTTTTTAAGTACAGACCACAGTATCGCTCATGGTGGTGCCCTCAAACACGTAGCCACAAGAGCCGGGGATGCTTCTCTTGTTAACGTCCTTCAGGCAGCCATGTTTGAGCAGCGAGGAGACGTTGTCGTACGAGGGGTTGTTGTTCGACCATCCTTCAAGTACTTTCCTTTCCAACTGCACAGCGTGTAATTTAAAGCAATATTAGGCATTTAAAACAAATTCAATTTCCTTATAATTCACTCTTGAAGCAAATGTGTAACAGTTATTGAATGTTCTTGCACCTCGTAGTAAGCTACACCTAATACTTATGACCGTGACTTGAATTATGTAGGAAGAATGAATACAATTAGCACGACTAATAAATGTAGTGCATTGTTCCTACATAGTTCAAGCTATTGTCATGTGTGTAAGGAGTCGCTCACTGCAATGTGCAAGAACCCTCAATAATTGTAACATGGCTACTTCAAGACCACCACTCTCAAGTTCTCAATTCAAAAACCCGAATTTAACTAAAAACTCGAATAATCTAGTTAGTTTACTGCACATGGTCATTGACTACTAACTCCATCGTCTGAATTTTATGAGTAAACCTGAAACATAAGATTTGTACCAGGATGAGCATAGTCATTGATTACCAACTTCATCGTCTACATGTGTCAAGAAAAGGCTAGACGAAGCTATGCAGGAGCATATGTTCAGTCTTAAATGCCTAGCACCTTACGGACCAGGCAATAAGTCCAGCAGCCATCTCAATCAATCGTCAGGTATGGAAAGATCGGGTTCCAAAGGCCGGATCTCTTGTGGAATCAAGCCACGAAAAGTACATGAATCGGTAGCAGGCCATAGGCTTATTTCTTCAGTGCCGGCACTTCCATTCTATTCTATGTGAAGAATAAAACCTTAAAGCATGAATTCTGTACCTGAATTTCCATTCTATTATATGTGAAGAATAAAACCTTAAGCATGAATTCTGTACCTGAATAATTGTCTTGGTGAAGGGGTCGGTGATGACGTTGAGGAGCTTCACGTCACCTCCAGCTATCTTGGACCAGTCATTCGTCACGAGGCCAGTACAAAGACATAAAATATCATTCCATTCGACGAAGTGAAAAATAATTTTGTTCCTGTAATGATTTCCTTTGGTTCTCCAAGTCAGCTATAACAAATCTATTAGTAACAGATCATGCTCTGCCATTTAGTACATTATTACACTAGCAGCAATCCATATGTACATATAAGATATGGATCAGAGGAAAACGTCCGACCAGAATGTGAGCTCAGAGTCAACAACCCTAATGCAAGTAAGCTCGGGTTCGCAATACAGTTGCTACCGTAATGCCGGGATATACATGAATGCTTTCAGTAGGGTCTACACGTCGGCTATAAGAAATCTTTAGGTACTAACAGATCATGCACTGCCATAAAGTACTTTATTACAGTAGAAGCAATCCATATGTACACGTAAGATATAGATCAGAAGGAGACGTCCGACGAGAATATGAGCTCAGAGTCTACAATCCTAATGCATATAATACCTATAGTTCCTAGAAAGCTCCGATCCGCAATACAGTTGCTACCGTAATGCCGGGATACCCGCTATTTTGTCATAACAAATTCCTTACAGTTTATCAAAATTGTTCTTTAAAAATATTTTATGATACGTATTCATTAAAAAATTGAAATGCCAATGTCAGAGTTGAAAAGCATTCTTATTTAGCCTGTAACATTACGAATAAAAGATGAAATATGTGTTCTGAAACCAATAATAAGATACAACCATCATACCCGGCAACAATACGTAAACAATCCTTTTGCAGAGGCAATTTTTTCAAGCAAATGCTGCGAAGCAAACACTAAGCCTAAACAGCATCGTAATTTACCAGAGATGATCTCGATAGTCCTTTTGCAGAGACAATTTTTTTCAAGCAAACGCTGCGAGGTAAACACTAAGCCAAAGCAGCATCGTAATTTACCAGAGATTATCTCGATAGTCCTTTTGCAGAGACAATTTTTTTTCAAGCAAACGCTACGAGGTAAACACTAAGCCTAAACAGCATCGTAATTTACCAGAGAGTATCTCGATAGTCCTTTTGCAGAGACAATTTTTTTCAAGCAAACGCTGCGAGGTAAACACTAAGCCTAAACAGCATCGTAATTTACCAGAGATGATCTCGACAGTGAGCAGCACGAGCACGGCCAGCCAGTTGAACATGTCGTGCACCGTGGCACCCGCGAACGCCCGACGGAACACGTCTCTGTCGCCCATCTGTGATCACCGCCACGGTGGAAATTAGTTTGAAAGGCGACATTCATACGCAAAATAATGATTTCTTAATCAAAAAATAATTCTGGTTGCACATTTCCTATCTATTTCCTATTTCTAAAATTAGTTTGAAAGGCGACATTCATACGCAAAATAATAATTTCTTAATCAAAAAATAATTCTGGTTGCACATTTCTTATCTATTTCCTATTTCTATTTGCTTGGTACCTATTTCATATTCCTACCATTTCCTATTCTAATAATTCTGGTTGCTGCATTTCCTACCTACAAAATAATTCTGGGTGCATACAAAATGGCATAGGTAAGTTAAGATAGAAATCAAGAGCGCGGTGGAATTCACGCACAAAATAATAAGATCATACCAACGAAATAATTCTAGTTAAAAACGAAATGGCATAAAAAGCACGTGACATGACACGAGTGAGCACAAGGTTATGGAGATTACTTTTAAATGAACGGCATGAGAGTGAAATTGAATTAAATTAATGTAATAAAAATATAATTTCAGTATATTAATTGTAAGAATAGATAGAATAATTGTAGCGATAGCAGACCTGGGTGAGGGAGACGATGGTGTTGGTGACGGAGGTACCCACGTTGGACCCCATGATCATGGGCACCGCGGCGGGGACCTTCAGGACTGACAAGAGGCAAATGTTTAATAATTAATTTGATTAAATGAGTTAATAACACTAATTAATCAAATTAATAAGTTAATTTAAATTATTTAAATACTACAATTAATTAAAAAATTATATTAATAAATTAAAGCACTAATTAATAGATATTAATAATACTATTAATAGTTAACTATACACGTTACTAGAAGAATTTCAATAAAATATACAAGGTACAATCGCCACACACGGGAAATGATTTCCACCACAAAATCTGTTAATATTTTCTGTTCACATTAGTGAAGGTTTGCGTGCTGACAGAAGGACGCTGTAACTACCCTGTTCGAGCACGTGTCCACAATATTTATCGTACGGAAAAGAGGGGAGGGACTAAAAACGACTTCCTTAAATCTTTTAGATATAATTTTAAAAACGAAAAATTTGAATTTTCTTCATGCTTCGAAAGGAAGTCCAATATAAATTTTATCTAGAACATATGGTTTAACGCCGGGAACAACGAAATAAATATGGCCAGAGAAGTTAATGGTTAGTAAATTATTTTTTATAGGTAGGTACTGATAATTTATGATTCATATTCGATGTAAAATTCTAGGGGTAGTAACATTCCAATGTAGTAGTATGAGGGTAACGATATTCTCAAACGATATTGTGTAGGTAATAATAGTTATTAATAACATCAAGATATAAAATAAATAATATCAAATATCATAATTAAATAATATCAAGATATTAAATATTTATATAATATCAAGATATTAAAAAATGTGTGGAATCGTATTTTACAGCCAAGGATTTCCCTACAAATATGATATACTTATAACTTATTTCTCACCAGTCCAAATATTTCAGGATTTCTATCCAAAAAGTACGGAATGCAGCACTCACTTCCGGAGTTGACCATGGAGACGATGATGGAGGTTGATGTGGACGATGACTGCACCAGCACCGTAACCATGATACCAATCATGAGACCAACAATGGGGTTATTGATGTACTTATTCTGTAGCACCGCACCTGAAACAAGATTATCCCATGTCACTCATGAATACTTAATGATCCAAGTAGCAGGATCTAATCATGTCACTCATGTCACTCATGAACAAAGCACCGCACCTGAAACAAGATTATCCCATGTCACTCATGAATAATTAACAAACTATTATATTGAACTCACCATGTTCACCATGTTTGAACACCCACCATACAAGTAGCAGTTTGGATGGAATTAATATTCATAGACGATGTGTATTGAATATACTCTTGCTGGCTCAGGTGACGATCGTGAATAATTAATAAACTATTACATTGAACTCACCATGTTTGAACAGTAGCAGTTTGGATGGAATTAGCCATACAAGTAGCAGTTTGGATGGAATTAATATTCATTGACGATGTGAATTGCATGAATATAATCTTGCGGGCTCAGGTGACGATCGTGAATAATTAATAAACTATTATATTGACCCACCCACCATTATATTGACCCACCCACCATGTTCACTCAGGTCAGAGAAACGAGGCAGACTTTGTGCAAATAATGCAGTACTTTTTCTCGTGCGAGGGCCATTTGACCAAATTTGGCCCGACAAAAGAACGTATCATTGCTACGTGCAAAAAAAAATGAGACGCTTTTTGGACAATCGAATCCATTAATTTTTTTAATGTGAGTTATGAACACAAGCTTCGGTTAACATGTGTTTCAATTTCTGATAATATGGTAAGCTTTCTGAATGCTTGGTGATAAACAGCAGCAGGTAAGCAAGCTGAAATTTGCACGAATTATTCATATTCGTGAATTTTATTTAGTACATGAAAAGATCCCCACAATTTTACCAGGCGACAGACGGTTCGCAAAAAAACGCTAAACCTACAGCTTGATGATGAAACCGATAACTTAAATGGAAGAAACTCTTGTCTCTCAACATGATTATCGATAAAAATATCCAATGATGGATAGACTTGGTGAAATTTCGCATTTGTATAAAAGGCGCGGTGAACATAAAACCTTACACGTGACTCAAAACCCGCGAAATTTCGACATTCACTGATCGTTCAGTTGTCAAAAAAAAATTTTACTGATAACAGATTCAACGATTGACGGAATTCGTTAATTTACGAAATACAAAAATGAATATTTAGAGTTTAGCATCATAAATTAAAGACATAACTTGAATGCATAAAGCAATTCAAAAAAACGTTTACTTAGAGACGATTTAACCATGTGAGAGATTGATTTTACTCAGTAAACGTAGAATTTTTCGTATAAATTGATAAATTACCCGTGGTTTTGCCAGCAAGGAGTCGAAACGAAGTGGACAAGAAGTTCAGCGAGCAGATGAAGAAGTAGAGCAGCCCGAACACCATCACCAACTTCATCATCACCACGCACACTGATAACATCTTACGGCCCACGGGTAAATCTGAAACAGATAAAGGTAATAATTCGGAAACTCTAATGATGATTATGTTTATGCCTCACCTCTCAATTGACTTGGTAAAATAATTTAATAACATGTATTCAATTTTATCTAAAAGGTTTAATAAGTTGTTAATAATAATGATTTATAACATAATTAGCAAAAAAAGTAATTTAAAAAGTACCTATTAATGAATATATTATATTAAATTGATATTTATTCGAATTTAAATAAATAAATTTAAAAATTAAAGTGGGAGGGCGGTGATCACAAATGAGAAAGACGTTTCATAAACGTACAGCCGCTCACTGTAGCGAATTGACTGTATAAATGTTTGTTTATAGATTATCCTGCCTACCATAGTTATACCAGAGCAAATAGATCAATTATACCAACTGTCGATTATACGGGGACCCAGAGGTTACAGTTCAGAGAACCAACATTAAAGCTTTGAGTAGTGGGTTCGATCCCAGCTACCTGTGACAATTTTGGTCAAAATCGGGAAGGTTGCCGGGCGGATAAACACAGCAAAATTGGAGCACTGAGTTGCATGTTCGAGACTCGCAAAAAGCTATGAAAAAATTGCGACGTTCAGAATCAGCGGCAGGTCAGCATCAAAATCGGGAAGGTTGCCGGGCGGATAAACACAACAAAATTGGAGCACTGAGTTTCATGTTCGAAACTCGCAACAAGCTATGAAAATCTTGCGATGTTCAGAATCAGCGGCAGTTTAGCAGACATCGCTATATATTTATATTATTTTATTTATTGTATATATATATAATATGATATATTATATTTATAATATTGTGCCCGACGTACGTTTCCATGCACTAGAGTCCTGTGTCTCCTGTAGAGGGGCGATGGCCCAGGGATCGTGGGGCTGCTCTTCCTGAGGGGACACGGTCAGCGTGGTGGGGTAGTTGCTGCTGGGGCGCGCGGACAGCTGCACCTCCCCAGAACCTCCGTAGAACCCCAAGTTCGATTCCCCAACCACAGCAAGTTGCCCCTGAAACAAAAGATTTTAATAATTGTTATTAATAATAATTTGTATTATTATTATTTCTACGCAAAGCCAGTAATTTAATAACTTCATTGGATTATGGAAATAAGGGAGAAAGAATGTTATTTTATAAGTAAGTTCTCGCAAATCATCCAAAAAGTTTAGATGATCTCACATAACATAAGCCGAGTAATAATTATATATAATTAATTCCAAGAAATTTATTTTTGTTCAGAAATCCTACTGTAATCTTTATAATATTACATATAAAAAAGCTTTTACTATAATGATCTTATACAAACTATTCCGTCAAGAAAAGTGACATAGTTACTGAAGTCGAAGACGCGAAAATAAATAAATTTAAAACACAAAATGCAATTGTTAGAGTTTACGATATTTTGAAAACTCTATAGGATATCAGCGTCCTATATTTATTCAGATTGCGATGTTGCGGCAATCTCGTAAAAATTAACAAAAAAACTGCACAAGTTGCTGACCCGTTTATACCTCCATCATTAATTCTGAGGACTACAACTATTCCATTGTTAGAGATTTGTGGCCAAAAAAAAACAAGATATTGGCATCAGATGGCAATGTAGTTATACATGTTTGTGATAAATTTCTGAGAACTTGATTCTTCTTGAATTTTGCTTACCATTTCGATAACTTTATCTTGTATGTAAAGGTTTAGCACTCACGCCTGACTTCATAAGATTATTTAAAAAAGGCCTCCCACACTCACCATTCCAACAAAAAGGAATTAATTTTATTAATTAAAAACAGGGAATGGTTTCATGTCAATGATCAGGGCCCCGACCTTAACGCTTCTGATGGTGGCCATAAGATAATTATTAAGGTTCATAAGATCATCATTGGTCACTTCATGCATCAGTTCTCATGAATTTGCGTATTATAATTATTGGGTATCCTAGTGTAGCTATTAGTGCTACCTTGGCCTTTAAGAACGACCTGAAGTTACTCTGCGGGTCACAGCTTCTGCACAATCTAAGTGAAGGTGGCCCGCATTTTCGATCTACTTTTTCGCCCTTTACCCATCTGTGCATGTCTATAAATAAATCCAGGTCGCGAGCCCGCAATCGAAAAAAATATGTTGCATATGCCACAAATATTTGTAAATATTTTTTTAAATATTTATTTTATTTCAAGAAGTTCTTGTAAACAAATATTTTTTAATATTTATTCTTTATGTCAAGAACTAAAAGTTTTTCAAAACGATTACGGTACTAACCAGGAATAAAATGAAATTGTATATGACTCATTTATGAACTAAAATAAACATGGCTTGCTTCATTTATTCGTTGAAAAGAGGAGGCTAACGTGAATCAATATTTCAACACAAAAAAATATTCACTGCGTATAAGAGAAACCAATACACGATACTTTTTCATTTAAATTCTAAATCATCTGTAATCTAAGTAATTTGTTCAATAACATTCAATAAAAAATATTGTTGAAAACAGAATGAATGTCACGCATGACGCATAGTACGTGGACTGATTGCAAACAAGCACCCAAACGTCAACATTCCCATTAGTATTAACCTTTAGAATACTGCAAGCTTTCACATGTAAGAAAGCAGAGTTTTACCAATTAAAAATTAATTATCTTCTCTTTATCCAACCGCAATTTACAAAATCATTTAAAACGCAATAATCATGGCATTGCAGACTCACAATCAGGCAGTCACGGGCCATCGTGCGATACGCCTGAGACTTAAAGCAATTGAGCTGCTACATCGCACGCACTTAACGCAAGTTAATAACATTGCCTAATTCATGCAAATTGCCGGAAGTTTCTGTCTTATTTGCATAGCGTAGAAACGCTTTACAGAAGCGATACCGAGGAACTTAAAATTATTAACGATCTTAATCCTCTTGCGACGGCAGCAGGTTTTTAGGAGCAGAGTTAACCTTTACCGAAGAAACCTTAACACGAGCAATCGACACACCCCTGGAATGTACTTCTTATTTGATAGCATTCTTTTCTTCCTTTAGTACTCTCACTAAAACTCGTGATGAGTATGTGTAAACGTCTCATCATCCACACAGTTAGGTCAACTAAGGCATGGATGTTGAATATTACATTCAAGTGGTCGAGCATCCATGAGTACTTGAATATAATTTGAATCATGAAGACATAATTTGAATCATGAAGACATCAACATGCAGGAGGTTGCCCAAACAGCACTTCATTTGGTATTCAACTAAGCTCTCTCTTTTGGACGCCTACATAGAAATTAGCCGAGCAAATAGTGGGTTTCAAGATTGTGTTTAAGCACCTAAGATATTTGAAAGGAAAATGACTTTAATGATTTCGTATTTAAAAAAAATGAAGCAGCTGAATTTCACCAGGCAACTCGTGTGCAGAAGGAAAAATCAAGGAACAAAATGAAAATTAAAATATAAAAATGAAGGAAATCTCGAACTAGATAATTGCTTCTCTTTAGGTTTGACAGTTTCTTACAATAAGTCTACAGTTTTATCCAATACATGGCTTTCCTGCAGAGAGAGAAGAATGCAACGTCAAGTCGGATGGTTTAAAAAACAAAGCTCAGTTACAGTACACACACCGTCAACACTCCGTGCCTTTCCAGTTAAAATATATGGTAATTGTAAACGAAATTCGTGGAATAATCATACAAAAATATAATAACATACCTTCAAGATTCATAGAAAACCAGTACCTCGGTGATGGAAAACTAATATTTGTGTGAATGCTTGACAAACAAGAAAGTTTAAAGTTCATCAACTTCAACACTTGGTCAACCGAAATGTTGACCTACGATGACCTACGATCAGGTCAAGCATTGCAACTGCAAGAGTCTCAATATATCTCGACGCGTTTAATGAAATGCAGAAATGCAAGCGGTGGGAGACATATATATTATATATAAATTTTGAATGTCAAGCGTCACACTAGCGAATACAACTATTTGTTCAGTGGCCAATTTATAAAAAAAATCACCGGGATATAAAATTGTTATTTATAAACCTAGAGCTCGAAATTAGTATTTCACAAGGATGTCGCAGACGTATAAATTGTTTCGTCTCAGATACTGAATAAAATAAGGAAATACTTCGATGCGAGTTCACAAACCTAACATACACGCAAATTAAATGGTCTTGCCGGTTAAAAAAAATTTTCTTTTTATATAACTGAAGCAAATTTGCTGCACCCATTCTACATGCAACTGACACTAAAGTAAACGCGACAATGGATGCAAACGATAATAACGCATTAACCACCTAACTATCTGCTATTCAGCGTTCTGATGCAGGGTCATTACTAGTCAAATTCTTAACATCTTGAAATTTATTTCCATCCTTAAAAGCATCCTCAACAACGTGAAGATTATTTCCATCTTTCGATGCATCACATTTCCCTAGCTCGGCAAAATTTCCGGCGTCTCCGAACATTTGGCATGAGGTTATTTCACGTTCACAGGCCACGTGTCCTCAATGAATCGGCCGATGGCAGTTTTGCGTGTTTAATTACACCCTTATGACCTTATGATGAGTTCGGGACTTCCTAGTCCCCGGTCACGCTGATGCGCCGCCTTCGTCGTCCTCCGGCCGTCTCCGAGTCGTCGTCGGATGTAACGTTGGACGTGTTCCGTCTATTTGCCCTCCTTTGGGCCAGAAGGTCACCCAGTCCATACCAAGAAGCGGTACAATAATCCCTTTTCTTCTTCAACGTACGTTAATGATGGTAACCTTCATCTAATTTTCTAATGCAATATCCACGACTAAATTGTCCATCAGACTACATTTTCGTCCATTAGGGCACTGGAAGAATTAATTTTTATTCCTGTGTAAGCTATCCAGCCAAGGCCAAGGTTCGATCATGGCCGGTGAATAATGAATGATTCACGGAAGTGCAGGCGACTGTCAACAAAGACACTAATGGAGCAAAAGTACCCTTTTAAAAACGGCCTTCGTGCCTCTTTCCCAACCCTCCCGCACGGTTATTTATTACTTTATTACTCATGGAAGCCTCTGGCATTATCATTGTACTAACCATCACTGGCAACTCCGGGTGTCATAAACAATACAATTGCAGAAAGGTAAACTATAATTAGACCTTATTGAGAACCAACGCATTAACTTACACGTCATGGCTCCAACTCCTCAAGATAAATTTTACGCTAATAACCTATGGTTTCTTTTGCAATTATACTGCCGGCAACTTAATTAAAGCCATCGTCTTGACGTTCAATCCCACGCCAGTGAACAACTCTATTATGGCGAAGTAAAGTACCTACGTAAGGAAATTATTACGTATAAGAAAGAATTGACTACAAACTTCCATTGACTGCACATCGATTGTACTCGATTGTAGTCATAGGCAACGGCATGAAAGTCCACGTGCTATCGAGCTGATGTCATTTGATTGCAGGCTACTGCTAGTTTAAAAGAATAATCAAATACAGGGTTACGCTACAAGATAATTGCCATTGTTCGGATTGAGAATCGATTTTATTAGCAATGTCTTTTCATGGGTGTCGTGAATTTAAGCCAAATGATTATTCTCAAGTGGCGCACAGTTCAGTAGTTAAGCAAACTTGATCAATGATGCATCGATCAGATAAATTCCGTTACCGAGGCATGTACCAGCTACCCACTTTGGACCACTGTTTTTTAACACAGTATAACGCACAGTAAACGCCATCATTAATAGTAAAAAATCTTTTACTGTTCCAGTTGAACGTTTACTATAAAGAATATTCACAGCCTAATTTTCATAGACTTGACAAATTATATTATGAAGAACAAGATACAACAAAAATACTAAAACCCGCAATATTCCTTGGTGGGATTAAAATTATTTCGTGTCTTCGCGTCCACACGAGAGAAATGTCAGTCTAGAAATTAAGTAAATAGGATAAATATTTCATATAATATCCTTTCCAAGCATACTGAGTAATATTTTGCTTAAGATAATGTAAGCGCGCAAAACAATCAAAATAAGCTAAAAATTTCTTATTT